CGCGGGAGACTCGGCATCTCTTTCGATGCCGCGTGGAGGACGGCACGCTGGTGGAGCTCACACGGCTCCCTATGGGATACAAGGCCAGCCCGGAAATTCTCCAGATTATTACTTCGGCAATTGCGGGGATGACGACGGTGGTTCACCCCCTCTGGGCTGCACCTCCATCGGTGCGTGTCGACGTTTGGATCGATAATATACGCATTGCAGGGTCGAAAAGCGATGTGACATTGTGGGAAGCCCAAGTGCTTCGTAATGCGGACGGCCGTCACGCTACGATGGAGGAGGAACGCGAATCGGGCGCTACGCAGTACACCTTCCTGGGGGTGCAGTTTGATCACACTCACCGGGCGGTATCCCTGAGTGACAAGTTTGTCCGCTCTGTACGCGCCATGCCGGCGCTCAATTCTTTAACCATCGCGGAAATGGAGGTTATAGCGTCACGTTTTTTGTACGCGGCTGCCATTTTGTGCACGCGTTTATGCGACCACTACTTTTTTATCAGGGCAGTGCGACGACGATTATCGGCACTTAACCGGGGAATTGTGCTGGAGACATCCCCGGCGAACGTTCCGCCGGCAGCGGTTGGTTTGGGCGAGAGATTACGGCACATGATCGGGAATAATCGTAAGCGAATCATCAAGCCCACGGAAAGGCATCGGCCGCCATCATCACGGATGCATCGCTCCATGGTTGGGGAGCCGTTTTTATTCTCCAGACTCCGGCGAAGTTAAAATTGCCGGAGGGAAATGGGAGAGGAAACCTTTTCTTATCATGCAGGCCGAGGTGCGTGCGGTACGCTTGGCCTTATCGGCCTTTTCCGCCATCTTGCCATCCACCATGAACGTTTGGGCGCACAGCACTTCGCTGCAAGGAGCGGCGAATAAAGGCAGCTCAAAATCACACGCCATGACGTGGGAGCTGCAACGGATATACGAGTTTTTGGACTCTCGCGGAATACAGGCAACTTTTGCCTACGTGCGGTCTGCAGAAAACCCCGCAGACGGCATATCACGCGGTCGTGTTTTTACACTTCGGAACTTGGCGAAGGGGAGCGGCGAGGTCTTGTGGTTGGAGGACCCCAAAGTCTCCCACTTCGTAAGTAATAATATTTCAAATCCTAACTGAGGACAAAGGACCATGCTAATGGTCCACAGAATTCTATATATTGAATGAGAATAAAACATTGAAGCAATTAACTAACGAACCTTTTTTCCTAACTTGTTTGGTTCCATAGAGTTTCAGGATCCGGCCAGCTGCCCGGAAGATTATTCTCGTTGATACGCTTGGCATTTTCGGTAGTGACCTGCGCGTGAGGCACTTGTTGGGAAGACCGTGGAGCCGTCGCAAAATCCACATGTGAGGCCTTCTGCAACGATTGGAGTGCCAGGGTTAGTGCGTCGGGCGTGTGCCTTCATATTGTGGACGGACGAGAAGACGCTGCTGCAGCTTGGGCAGGGCGACGTTGATCCGCTGCTCGTCATCCTACGAGGAGGTGCCGTGGACACGCCAGGTGGAGGTTCCGGAGGAGGTCGGGGCGGTCCTGCCTCTTCAGTGTGAGAGGGCGGCACCACCGACATAATGGGTTGCTTGTGATCCGCAGGGCGCGTGCCAGCATGCCGAGGAGTGGGCAGGAGGACGTCAATCAGCCGCTTGCTGCTCGGCAAGGAGTGGCGGTGCTCACGTCGGGAAGAGGTCACGGCGGAGGCAGAGCACAGACGCGGTCCCAACAGCACCGCAGCACAGCCGATCCCAGAGGGCAGGAACGTGGCGCCGCCATGCCTCGGGGCATCACAGGCATGGGATCGAGAGAGCACCAAGCTGTTTCGCACGGACCTCTAGCAGCATGGAGAAGCCACCGCGAAGGGCATGATTGCGGTCCTCCCGTTTGCGGTGCACTTCAGCTCGGGGCAGGCTGCCGCTGCAACACACTCGGCCTGCTACATTCCTTCCGTCCAGATTCATGTGGGAATGTCACGGCTGCCGCTCGTACGGTGCCTCGGTGCATCTCCAACCATGCGTTCACAGCGGCCAGAGACGTTCCACACGCCGAGGTGGAAGCATCACGGTCAGCTTCATGCAGGACAATGGAGGCATTTTTCCGTTGTGGCAGCATGCCTGCCCGTCGCGGGATGCCGTCCTCCGTCCCTGCAGTGTGGGATGGTAGATGGTGGTCGGAGTCCATGTGAACGGGTGGACGTCCAGTGGGAGACACGCAGTACGCGTTGCGCAGTCACGTCTGGAAACGAAACGCTGCGGCCGCTGATCCACGTTGCCTGCGCCGGGTCGTCGGACAGCCCAATCTCCATGTCGATTGGGGTGGCGGCGATGTCCTCTCATGCCGTCGTGGATGGTGAGCAACCGTCCCGCAGCTCATGATGTGAATTCAGGTCGCAAATAACCGCTGCAGGACCAAGGCGACGAATGGTGCTCGTAAAGTGAGCAGCGTGGGCAATTGCCGTGGAAGTTTGCAGAGATCCACCACGTACATGCTGGGGCAGGCCGGTGGGTACACGCGGAAGGCATTGGTCTCCAGGCAGTTGGTGCCAAGAGCTACAGACGCTCGCACGGCAAGGTGTGGCGCACCAAGAAGGCCACGCCACCGGCACGCCCACTGCAGGCCTGGTGGAATTCACCGCAGCCAGTGAGCCTCGTCGCTGGGGCACTCTCGTGCCTGCACTCCTGCAGAAGAACCATGCCGGGATGGTGCTGCGCCAGTCGAGCGGCAAGGGCAATCCTGAGGGGCGAAGGGCCTGAAGTTCTGAGCTGCCAAATAACCACAAGGCCATCCACATCGGGGCTGCGGCTCTTGCGGACACCACCGCAGCGGGTGACGCCGACGAAGTGACCGCAATGAAACGACCATGCGGTTCTGTCAGTCGGGCTGCAGGCAAACCGCCTCGCCGCTCCACAACCAACAGAGCGTGGCACCTTCTCGAGGGGTGACGCCGTCGTGGTCCCCATCACGCTCGCAGCAATGCCCTGCCGCAATCACTCCCACAGAGAGACAGGGAAGAGTGTGTGGATGTGTGCCGAGAACACAGCGACTGCCATCGTCAGAGTAGGCCATCGTGGCACCGTCCGTCATGCGTCATCACACACCGAGCAACGCATGCACCCGGCAGTGCAAAAACAAGAGGAGAGAAGAATGGTCCCAAGAGCAGGCAACACCTTCACGCATGGCGGGCATCGTGCAGCCGTGTTGCCATTTCAGCACGGGACGCAAGCCCACGCCCCGCCGTCGCCAAACATTACTGCAGAGCACTGTGCAAATACTTATTTTCTGTGTGCTGGAAAAGCAGAAAGAGGAGCACAGGGAGGGACGTCAACTCGGTAAGAGGCACAGCTGGATGACAGCGATACATGCGGTACGTCCCCAACCTCAACAAACACGCACGGTGGCAGCACACACCCATCGAATAATAAAAAAAAAAAGAAAGAAAACAAAAAACACGGCGGCAGGGTGTGGCCGTGTGTGTGGCGCTGCGGGTGTCTGCCCGCCCTGGCCGCAAGAAAACAAAACAGGAGGGAAAGAAATGTGTGCGCCGCCCCACAGGCCCTCGTCGCACGCCCACACGTCACGGCTCCCTCAGCGCGCCGTTCGTCGCGGCCCCTCCTCATGCGTGCAGCAGGCGAGGCGCACAGGGCCGTCGTCATGAGCGTGTCGGTGGGTGTGCGAGTGGAGCAGTTGGGCGGGAAACACACGGCACCCCTCACAGGAAGAGTGCAGCAACAAACAATTAAAAGAGGGAAGAGTAGAAAAGAAAAAAACGTCCATAGTGATTGCCCCCGAAAGCAAAAAAGAGAAACGATTGGAGATGAGAAAAATATTAGGAAAAAAAAGAAAAAAAAAGAAAAAAAAAGTAGAAAAAAAAGAAATTAAAAACACACACAAAAAAGATTTATGAGAGAAATTTGTTCCTATGGAAATAGTACTTTTGTGCTCGGGAGGGCACAATTGTCCCACGCAGCAGCCAGTCACTCCTCACAGAGCCGCAAACCCCCACAGTCCCAACAGAAGCAACAGCGATGGCAGTCCGCTTCCATGCACAGTGCCGGTATTGCCCGCTGCTTCTCCAACGGCATGGGAGCTCGAAGCCGTCGGCACTTGCTGTGTGGTGGCAGGCTTCCCCTCCGTTTTTATTTCGTCCCCTGTTTTGGTACGAGAAACAGCTCCCGCTGGTGACGCAACATCTTTTTCCACTTCGGCATCGGGGCCAGAAAAAGTCAACGGGCGGTTGTACAGCATGACGTTCCTCACAGTCACAGAGACGTCTTCTTGGCCCCCTGCATTGCTTCCATCCCCTCCAATGTAGAAGTGGGAGATCTCTTGGGGTTCTGTTGCTTCCAATCCACGTTGCGCACTCCCACACACACGTTGACCATCGACGTACGCGGAGCCCTGTTTTCCGTTCTGTAGCACAATGGACACCTGGTACTGTTTCTCTGTCGCCCAAGTGCTTTTAAGCCTCTTGGTCGTTCCGTCACTGCACAACAGCCGCCACTTGCTTTGGCTGTCGTACGACAACTCCATAAGTTTTTTTCCACCGTCCAGACGCACACCCATCAATGGAATGGGGGTATCTCCCTTCGGCTCTCCGTGGATGGACACCGTCGCCACAAGAGTGAAGTTGTGGTTCGCAAAGTGGTACAGCTGATTCTCCCCCTGCTTGCCAACGGGCCACTCCGCCCACGCACCATTTCCCGTGAACTTCACGCCATTATCCGCATACCCTGTTGCCACCCCATTCTTTCCCTTCTTTACAGTGGCGTCCACCCCGAGGTACTCGTCCCTCCATGTGTTATCAGAGAAGTTGCCGGACAAAAAGCCAACCAGCCCATCCGTCGGAATGGCATTGCTGCAGGCAGTGGCAGTTGAGGTATCCTTCAGAGCACCCTCAGAAGGGCACAGCTTGGAGACACGTTTGTCCACTTCCTTCCAGGTCGTCAGCACATCCTTCACCCGCTTCAGCTGCGCAGCCAGACGCACAGAGACCATACCGAGTGATGATTCCCCACCGCCCTTCTTCTCGTACAGTGCAATCAACTCCTCATTATTATTTCCACTTTTGTACAGCAGGGAGCTGGCGGCAGCGTCATCATCACCGGATACCGGCCCAATATCAGCAATGTGCGTATTGTCCGTCAGCCAAAGATGGAGTACGCCCTTTGGATTGCCAGCCTTCTCGGAATACACCGGCAGAGTAACAAGCATCACGTCCCATTCCTCAATCTTCGCTGTGGTGAACCCGCTTCTAACGCCCTTCTCTTTTCCCTTTTGTTTGCTGCCCCACACGCGCGAGAGTGTCCCGAGGGCCTCCGTCCACGAATCCCCCTTGTCACCGATCTCGTACACCCTGCGGCGGCCATCATCGCACGCAGTCATCATCATGAGTTTTCCCTTCCACTCCACGACGGAGGGAACACTGCAGCCATCGGCAGACATCCCCTTCGACAGATTCCCACCCCCAGTGGCTGTGTATATGATCAGCGAAACGGTTTTTCCATTCTTCGTGCCTTCCACGGGCAACACAAACGTACCGTCGTTCATCTTAACACCCGATCCACCGCCGCCAATCAGCCCTGTCAAGGATTCGTGTCGTTTTTCAAATTCAGTCCACGGGATAACGTAAGCGTCGTTCCAATAAATTCTTTTTTTATCGCTGCCCTCAGTACTGAAATTGCCGCTCGCCACCAAAAGTCCCCATTTAGTTGCTGCAGCTGCGTTATCAACGCCTTCAGTAACTTCAAAACTGTAGGTTCCAGCAAGCATGTGAATATCACTTTCCTTCACAACTGTTGTTGGCCGGCTCACATGTACTTTTTTCCGGCTTTGGGAAGCATTCTGAGCCCCTGTTTGGGAGGCACAACTCTTATTTTCGGCAGGACATTCCTCCAGTACTTGTGTCTTCACTTGGGCTTTACCCAATTCTTTTGATTCCTGATCAGTTAACGTCAAGAGCTCCGAGGCAATGCCTGTAAAACCGCTCTCACTGGCTTCCGTGAACTCCGCCTCGGCAACGGCAAACACATCACCATTCATCTCAACAAGACTGGGAACACGCAAAGAACCCACAGTTTCTCCTTCTTTCACATCTCTCCAAGCAAAATGTTTCCCCGGTGAAGATATTGGACACGACGCCGCTCCATTATTATTGGCTGCAGCCCCGGTGTCGTAACACATCATAACGACGAGGAGGAGCAGCACCGCGGAAGTAAACACACGCCGGGAAATGTTGGGCCTCTGCGGCTCACTCTCTCTTCCTTCCCTCCTCCTTCCGCTGGATCCGGTCACGCGGCGACGGTTGTTTGTGCGGGTTTCCTTCACTGCAGCAACACGTGAGAGCATATAAATATGTGTGTGTGTGGGCGGTGTGTGTGCTGTTGGTCCTTTTGATGCCTTCAAATTTCACAGTAGCGATTAGCGCTTGATTTCCTTCTTCGTAAGAGAGTGAAAGGAATAAAGAAAACAGGCTAATAAAATATAGGTGAAAGAATAAGCACCGCCACCCACAGTGAGTGGCACCATCATCCCCGCCGCAGTCACTCCCCACAACAACAACCCACGCACACAGACACACGGAACGAGACGGAAGAACAGTGCACCGGGAACACACAGCGACTGCCACCACCACCACCACCAGCAGGAGCCACGGCGGGTGTGTCGTTATCCACGCTTCAGCACGCACCGAGCAACGCCCACAGACGAAACAACAGGCGGGATGCAAAAGGACACGACAGTCCTTTTCAAAGTACACGTGTTGCCGCCAGTCATTTTACTGTTCACCCTTCCAGCGCACCCTCCAATGCACATCACCCCACGCAGGCGAAGAATCCCTGACCAAAATATACACAGCATAGGAGATACAAATTGGCACGTGCAGCAGCTGGACGAGAAGCAATCCGCACTTGTACCAGGCACCTTAAGCCACACCACCCAATCGACTGCACGCCTGCAACGTGTCAAAAAATAAATCGCAGGCTCCCCTCCACCCTCGAAAGGGACGTCGCAGCTAGAACCTTCTGCGTGCATCCGTTCTCAGGAATCATGCCGCTCCACAGAGTATGCATAATGGCATGTGTGTCTGTGTGCATGTGTGTTTGTCAGTGGATATAATTGCAGAGCAGCTGTGCGGCAAAAGAAAGTCCAAAGAAAGCAACGGCAGAGAGAGGCAGATAGCACACACGCAAATTACTCATATCGTCACACACACACACACACACACGCAGCCGCGGAATGGGTGCACACAACCACAAAATCAAAAAGGAAAACAAAACAAAAAGCCGAAGCGTGGGACGACCAGCGCACACACTCTCATTACTCCCGTAAAGCAAAACACACACACAGAGGGAGAGAGAGAGGTCGCCCACTCAATGCAATAAAAACAAAACAGAAACAGTTACGGTGCTCCGCCCATGCAGCCAGGCAGGACGGCAGCGGTGCGTGTCGTGCAAAAGAGAGCATCAACGGGCATGCATGGGTGTGCATGCATATATACAATGGGCACATTATTGTGTGTGCCTCGTGGGGTGAGGTGAGGGCGAGAGTCCATGCAAGGGGACACAGAGAGAGAGAGAGAAAGACGCGTGTGTGTGCGGGCGGTGCATGGCTCTCTCTCCCTCACTCTCACGCGGCCACCACCGCAGCAGCAGCCGCACACGCAACAACAAGAAGCAGCAAAAGAGGGGAGGTGGTGTGGGAGGCCGCGGTGCTGCCGTCACTTCCACTGTCATTTGTAATTGCCGTGTTATTTTTAACAACGGCTGGTTTCTCTTTCGTTGTTTCCCCTTCATTTTCGGTGGGTTGTTCATGGTGGTGGTCTTCTGTAACTGCGGTTTCAAAAAATTCGGCATCTTTGCGAAATTTCTCGTCTTCCTCTTCAGCCTGAAGTGCGGCAGCAGCACCACCTTCTCCTTCAGAAGCTTTTGGCGACGGTGGGTCAATCGTTCCATTTGATTTACTTTCCGTTGAAACCGAGGGAATTTTCTCTTTCAACCGCTCCGATGAACTGGCGGCGGATCCCTCCTGTTGCATGCCATGTAGTTTTACTTGTGGCGGCGACTGTTGCGTTAAATTTGGCCCAGTTGGTGAGGCAGTCGCTATCTTTTCTTTTTGTACTTTTGGTAGTTGCGGTTGTTCTTCGTCAGGGTGTCGTCCTTCCTGTCCTTCTTCATGACTTTGAAGTTGTTGGTCATGCTGGGATAATCCTCTGTGCTGTACGTCTTTTTCTTGTTGTATTTGTACTGGTGCTTCTTCCTGGTGCTTTCTTCCCTGCTGCGCTGAGTCTCCTTGTAGCGTTGCTTCTTGTCCTACAGCTTGATCTCCTTTTAGTACTGAAGGTTTTTCACGTGACGATGGATTTTCGTGACTTTCTTGATTTTGCTGTTTATTCTGCTCTTCAAGTTCTTTTTTTCTTTTTGCCTCGTCATCCTCTTCCCGTACTTCCTCCACAACTCCTTTAACGTGCCCTGGACTGGGTTGATTTGCCTGAACAGGCCCGGTAGGTGGCACAACAGGCTGTAGGCCTGTTTGGGGATCTTGGTTACTGGGCGCGTGTGACGGCGATAACGGATCGGTAGAAATGGCATCCAAATTGTTTGACTTCGCCTTCGTACATTCCGCGGTATTTGCATCCGACACCGGTTCCACAGAGCAGGACTTGTGCTCCACACTTTTTTTTCCATCCGTGGGCTCAGATAAACCATTTCGTAGCGCTTGGGACCTTTCAGAAGAAGAAGGATCCGCCATCTTCTCAGAGCTATCAGCAGCAGCTCCAGCAGCACCGCACCACAGCACGCAGAGGGCACACACCAGCAGCACACGGCCAGTCATCATCATCGCCATCACTCCTGTCACTTGCGTGCAGCCTTCAGCACAAACTAACAACACGTCAACGCAGAGTAAAATGGAAAAGAAAGGCAAGTCACACAGCCGCGCCACAGCCACCGCACAATGACAAATGGAAGCAGCTTGCACACACCATGAGGCAGTTGAAATCAGTGTAAGGGCAAAACGCACACACACAGCCCCGCAGTAATTGATCAGCAAGAAAAACATGAAAGAAGCAATTGAAAACAAAAGTAAAAAACAACAGTAAAGAACCAGCAATAAAGTAAAAACAAGTAGAAGCACAAAAAAGTTGCAACGAATGACGCCAGTGTGCATGCATCCACAAACATGCGTCCTCGCAAACAATCGTATGCGTATCGTGCATGTGAGTGTGTCCGCGATGCGTTCAAAGTGATAAATGTAGGAAGCAACATGGAGCACACAGCACGGCAGCGGAAGCAAATGAAGCAAAACACAATCATTACTCATTTTCTCCTATTTATTTACATCGGACTACAGTAGACGCACACAAATCCCCGCGGTTGAGTGCTGGCACGCACAGCCCACATACACCTCTTCAGCCCACAGTGGTGTACGCCAGCGCGGATACGGCGAGCAGCAGCGGGGCACACACCCACGCAGAGCCGCTGAGGCTGCCGTCCATTTCGCGAAGATGTGACGGTGCGCGGGTGGTCGTCGTGGTTTGCGCCTCTGTATTTGTCGTACTTGATGCCTCTGGCGCAGTGGTGGTCGTGGTTGTCGTAGTGGTTGTCTTATTTATTGCATTTGTTTTTTGATTTTGGTCTTTTGCGTTTTCGGACTCATGACGACCCGCCTCTTCATTAGTGGGTTTCTCATCGTTTTCCTGACCCTGTGCCTGGTTGAGATCACTTTGTGACTCTGCCGTTCCTATCCCTCCCTCACTTATCTTTGGCGGAAGAGAACTTTTACCAGGCAATTGAGCCACCTGATTTGTTACCTCTAAATTAGACTTCGCTGGATCGGAGTGTTCTCCAGCTTTACCAGCTGTACCTTCATCAGACGCTGTCACGCAGACGGACGGGCAGCAGCACAGGGCGAGCACCAACAGGGCGCACAGCAGACGGCACGTCATCATCGTGAGTGTGGTCGTTCAGTGGTGTGGAGCCGATCTGCACAGTGAGGGACATGGAGAGCAACAGGGGAGACGAGAGGTGCGGCAGACACACACACAGAGGGCACACCGCATGAGGAGAGGGCAGCAGCCAGGCATGCACCGTACGCCGCACACCACGCACGACACACACTCCAATCCACGGCAACACGCACACAAACACACAAACCTGCACTCTGTAATACTTATATTGTACAATTGTTGTGGTCAGTGCATGCGGTCACACACAAAAGGAGTGAGAAAAGAGGAGACCACTACGGCTAGACATCAGACTGCAGGCTACCAGAGGGTCAAAAAAGGCAAGAGGGACGTGCCGCGTCGGCAGTCGGTGCGTCACTTGCTTGCGTACCAGGCGTCGTGCGCGATTGTTGTCGCTCAACGTGATGCATACGTCCTCGTGGCCCCAGAGGGTGGAACAGCCAGCGCCAACCCAAACACAGCTGTCAACACGCCATTGCCACAATCGTGAAGAGCCGGCTGGCAACACACACGGCAAGAAGGACACACCAAGACACGCCATGCACCAAAGGGGCGCATCAAGCCCGCAAACAGTGCGCACCGCCCCAACACCGCAGGGTCCTCACGCACGCACGCACCATCCTCCTCCTTCCTTATCTCCAGCTCATTGCCGCCACATCCGACACCCGCACCTCACAATACCAGAGGGAAACACAAAACAGCTGAAGCAGCAACAACAGCAAAACTGCCACCTTGTTGCGCTGACGCCACTGCACGAAAGGGTGCGCCGGCGACGGGAGTCCATCGCGCAGGAGACGGAAATGAGCCCAACGAGACACCCAAGAGCCACACGTTGGCAGTCTTATCGGGCTGCCTCAACGCAACCACAACAAATAGTGCCGCAACCACGGAGCCATGCACCCTCACCCACAGCGTGTTCTCACAATCAGAACAGCAGGGACAGAGGGAATTAAGACACACTACCCACAGTGCAGCAGAGCACCCGAAACACACACAGCCATTCAAAAACGGATGCAAAAGGCCGGGAAGGCAAAAAAATAAAAAGGACGCATACAGATTAAAAGCCGAAGCACAGAAATTATTTGAGGTCCACATTCTCGCAATGACGCACACACACAAAAAGAAGCAAAGTCACAAAACCAAGCAAAGCGTAAAAGATAAAGCCGCATGCACCAATTACGGAGGCAGAGGCAGTCGTCCAGGTCCTTCAGAGAAACAGCTGCTGGCACGACCCCGCCTCCATTGGAGCACATTTCCTTTACTTCTTACTCATGATTAGAGTATGGTGGTTTCCCCTCGTCCCAATCGCATCAAAAAACGCGTGTATACATGTGGTGCTGGGAACTGTCTTTTCTCTCCATGCTACTTCGTTCACACACAGTTTTCACGGAAGTTAGACCCTCTAAGCAATAAAACAAAAACACCTTTTCCCAGAACAACAAACAATGCAATAAAAGACCGGTCATTTTGCCCATCACCGCAAGCAAAGAAGGACATGGGGAATGCAGTGAGTGTATTATATTGTTATTGCTTCGGTTTGCACATCTTGAGTGCGGGGTCAATGTGCCAAGTAAATACTGTCGCCCTGCCGCAGTTTGATTGCGCCCAGCCGCCGCGGCTGCTCAAAGAGGCACCACCACTACCGCCACAGCGACCACAACAAGAAGCACAAAGGGAATGAGGCCAGCGGTAGCAGCAGCCGCACAACAATCACTGTCGGCCTGCTGTACCAACGCATCGGGTATCGCCTGGAAATCGTCGCTGTTGACGGACGGAATCGGAGTGGCAGGCACGGAGGCACTGGGAACCACCGCTGGGCAATCCGCCCGCGGGTCGCCCTCCGCTCGTGCAACGTCCTCGCCGGGCGATGGCGCAAAAAAAAAGCGTCGGAGCCGGAGGCTCTGTTGGCTCCCTCGCTCCCACTGACAGGTCTCCTCCCTCGCCGCTGAGTGTTGTCCTCACTTTCGGCCCGCACCCCCGGATCACCCCTCGGACCGGCATGAAGGCCACCACCAGCGACACCCGCAGCCGAAGCACCGGGAGGCTCCTTTTCAATGGAGGCACCAGACGCCACACGAGACAACTGTGGACGAGTTCCTCCGGAGTCGACCCTGAAGCAACCGCCGACTCTTCTGCTTCCTCCTCTTGCTCGTCACCCTGTCCACCCACCAACGCGCTCGGAATGACAGGATTGCTGCCGTTCGCGGCAATGGTGCACACCTCGCCGTACGTGGGGGACTTGATCTTCCCATCCTTCTGAAAATCTTTAAACGCCACTGGGATGTCAGTGTCCTCAGGGCAAGGCTGAAAAACACTGCCGCCGAGGTGCTTCACCCTCACTGTGCCCTCCCCACATGACACCTGCGTGCACACTCCCTTGACGCTTTTATGGCCATCACCGCCCTTCGTCTCCAGTAACTCCGCGTCCAGGCACCACGAGCCGCCGCCAGTCAGCGACCCACGGAGATAATCCACATTTTCGTCCGAGCACGTCCCGTACGTTGTCCCAGACGAGATTTCGTGAAATTCCAAAGAAACAACAGGGCAAACGTCCTTATCCACCAGACTCCCCTTGTCCTCAACAATGCTTGCGGTGCACGTCCCAACGTGACGGCGGTCGGAGGTGCAGCGAAGCGTCTCTGTGTCTTTAGCATCGCAAAACATGTGAGGATACTTGGCGGCAAGATTATCGGTTGTATTGCACTTGTTGACCAGGAAGTCGCAGCCACTGCGGCTGCCCCAGCTCATCGGCTCCGCCATCCTCCAATTCACGCGGTAGTATCCCATATCCGCAAACACCGCCATCGTCAGAGCCGTGTAGTAGCCGGCACCGACTGCGGGAGCCATCAGCTCGTCCCGCGCGTGGCGTCCCTTCCAGTGAGGGATTTCCTTTTCCGGAGGGCCATCTTCGTCCTCCAGCACCATGCCCTCGAGAGAGTCACAACCAAAGTGCGCTTTCGCCTTCTCCTGAACGTGCTTCCCTGCCACCATCCTGCGGTGCGTCCCACGCACACTTCTCTCTGGCTTCTTCACCAGGCTCTTGTCTTCCATACTCTCCTGGCTGAACCAAAGTGCATGCGCAATTTCGTGTGCGGCAACGCGAACGCTCCACGCCGTGTCAGTCATGTACTTCGGATCAAAGTTCATGGCGCCAATGTAGGGGCAAAAGTCTGTCAATGTGTTACACGTGGCCGCCCACACAGACCTGCTATTCGTGCCCGATGGCCTAGCAGCAGCGTAGATGATAAAAGCTGCATTCGGCACACCGTCACTCTTTTGCCTGGCAGGAACCGCAAAGTGGCTGCACGGTCCATTCACAGCCCTCGGTACAGTTATCGTCCCACCAGTGGGTTTCACAAGTAGTCGCTCAGCGTGCAGTTTGACGGCACCGAAGAGAATCTCTCCAGTGTACAATTGTGTCTTTGCCTCCGTCAGGAAATGCTCTGCTTTGCATGACACCTTTTGCCCCAATGCATTGTAGCACTCATCCTCTCCTTCTTCGCAGTACTTCTTCCTCTTGTTCGTGCCTCTCTCCAGATCCTCCGTGTACACCGCAATGCGGATCGGCTCCCAGCCACTGTCGTCATCCTGTGTGGCGACGGTGTATGCCTGCATCGCGCCCTGTCCCTTGCGCGGCACCTCACGCACCACCGCAGTCGACAGCGGGCCGTTCCTCCTCTTCGGCACGTCAAACCCAAAGCGGTATTGTGTGGCGGGTACAGCAGCAACACACCTAATGGCGCAGCACATCAGCAGCAACGCCACCAGTGGGAAAAGCGGTGTGGCGCGGCGTGGCTGGCGCATGACTTGAGTAAAATGCATTTTTTGGTTTCGTGTGAGTAGCAGCAGTGGCGCAGCCTGGATGCGGGAGGAGAGAAACAAAGGAAAAAGAAGAGTGAGAAAAGCAAAATGGCTTTGGACCAGTAATGCGTCAGAATGCGGCCCACGCAGCAGAGTAAAAGGAAAACACAGAGGCGGCCACACAAACAGCATGCGCACCGACTCCACCAAATGGACAATCCGTCAATCCTTCGTCGAGAGAACGTCCATCACCGTCGCACAGAGTCATCATCTGCCGCAACGCTCTCTCCACGCGGAGTGTTTGGTCCTTTCTCCTCGTGGTGTCGCAATATTTGTGTGACCGGCCAATCAACATCCGCCAACGGCACAGCACCAGCCCCAGGTGCAGGAGCATAGCACAGCGCGCTCTCCCAGCAGATCATACCCTGTTGCATAACCGCATGGCAACCCCAATTGTGATGCGCAGCCCTGAAGCGGAGATGCAAAGAGTCATGCGGACGGACCTTCTTTCACTGCTCTCCTTTCGGGGAACTCGACAACAAGCGTGCCGGCGGTGCGATCATTATGACCGTTACATCCGCACTGCCACTGGACAAGGAAGTTACTGTGAGCTCACTGCGTTGAGGTCACCGCGTCCGCCGTTGCTCTCCCGCCATCCCACAACCACGCCGGCACTTCCAACAGAGCGGATAGAAGGGTCGACAACGGGAGCCACAGACGCCAACGCACCGAGTCCAATTGTGCCCGCTGCGAAATTCCAAAGCGCGCCGAGAGCTCCTCTAGCAGTGCAGGGGCAGTCCACCTGTGTGCGGCACGGCGTGTGTGTGCATGTGCTTGTGCTTGTGTGTTTGTCAGCGCCTACACTTGCAGAGCAGCTGTGCAACACAAGAGAGTCCAAAGAAAAGCAATGACAGAGAGAGAACAATAGCACACACGCAAATTACTCATATAATCACACACACACACACGCAGAATGAGTGCACTCAACCACAAACAATGAAGAAAACAAAAAGCCGAAGCGTGGGACGACCAGCGCACACACACTCTCATTGCTCCCGTAAAGCAAAACACACACACAGGGAGAGAGAGAGAGGTCGCCCACTCAATTCAATAAAAACAAAACAGTTACGGTGCTCCGCCCATGCAGCCAGGCAGGACGGCAGCGGTGCGTGTGGTGCAAAAGAGAGCACCAACGGGCCTGCATGGGTGTGCATGCATATATACAATGGGCACATTATGTGTGTGCCTCGTGGGGTGAGGTGAGGGCGAGAGTCCATGCAAGGGGACACACACACAGAGAGAGAAGGACGAGTGTGTGTGCGGGCGGTGCATGGCTCTCTCTCCCTCACTCTCACGCGGCCACCACCGCAGCAGCAGCAGCACACGCAAAAATAAGCGCAAGGAATGGAATAATGCAAGCAACCATTTATTTGTTTCTTTTAGGATGTTGACAGATGTCTGCATGCGTTCCTTTTGTTTTTGCGGAGGGAAACCCCTCATGCCTGCATCGTGTGTTGGGGATTTCTGCAGGGTGCACAATTATTTTTCTTTTCTCTTGTGAATGTTTCTTGTGTTGGTGCAGCCAATAATTCGGTTTGTGTTGTTCCTGCCTTTCGCTGGTGAAGTGCTGCAATAGATGTTTGTTTTTCCTTTCGTTGCTGTGGCACCTGATTCCTCACCGTTTATTGCGGTGGAAATGAAAATATGTGTGGACTCCCACACACCAGAACGCACCTTCGCTCCTATTTGTTGGTGCATGGAAGGGCATGTGTGTTTGGTGGTGCCTCGTCCATATATTTTGTGGGTGCACATTCCCCTGCAGGCTGAGGGCGGGATGACGCTCCGTCGCCGTACACTTCCCTCGCATGCCGCCCACGGTGATTCACCATGCATCACCCACTCACATACTCCGTGGTGCCACACCGCTGATATTATTGCAGCCGCTGTGATTCCGCGTATTTCACGCATTTGATTGTGCCACAATACATCCGCTCGTGTGGCCGCCGCATCCAAACAGCGGTGCCCAACATTGTGAGCGGCAGTCCACATCCCTGCAAGTCCCAACGCAGTGGTGTTCGACTGTCAGCCAGGCGCCACACAACAGGAGAGTATTGTGCTGGCAGTACAACACACGGAGCTGCGGTGAATGACTCGGGTGGCGATGCATCTATTTGTCGCAAGGCAGTGAAAAGGAGTCGGGCAAAATAGTGCCGGCTGCATGCACGACACCACATCCACAGCCAAGGCATGCGACGTGATGTGTGTTTCACTGGTGCTGTGAAATGACTGCAGACGACGTCACTGGTGGAGTCATGCCACCCATGATCAGCGGACAGACAATAATCGGCATGGGAGGCCACAATAGGCAGCAACGACGCCAGCAGCTGGAGCAGCTCCTTCTCTCTCTCTCTTGCCTCCGAGAAGTAAATATTCCACCAGCCACAGCCGACTGTGCCATCGTGACACTCCATGCACGTCGTGGCTGCGCCAACACATCCTGTTTCCTGCAGCACCTCGAAAGATGCCTCACTCCGTCCACTGAGTGCATCGGTGTGAACCGTGCGTCGGCTGTTCGTGAGGACCACAGCGATGTGAGGGTCACCGAGTCGCAGCATGTTTGTTGTGACGTTGTTGCATGGCACCTGCACACACACACACACGCAGCGCCTGCATCCCTCCCTGTTGTGTCCGCCCTCTGCCGGAGTGGCCACACACACGGGCAGCAGCAAAATCGCTTCGCCCTCGACGATCCAAAATCAACACCGACATCCCTCGCGACGCAAAGATCTCAGTTGCCAGCACGGGCCTCCTGTCGCTCTGACATCGACGCCGAAACACGGCACAGTGCACGCACTTATTTTCCTCGCGTGCAGTCAGCCGTTTGCTTCACACATTCTTCGATGGGCTGACGTCAATAAAAGCACGCAACAAAAGGCCACTGTGATCGCACACGCTCTTGCGATGGGCGTCGGTGTGTGCATGGATCCGCTGCTCACACGTGCTGACAGGCAGTCTGCAGCCGGTGCCCTCGTGCCAGTTCATCGGCTCCAGCACGGAAAGGAGAAAATGGCCAATTCCCGATGCACTTATTCCCACCAGCAGCACCAACACGCTGGTCGCCAGCCGTCATTCCTCAGCACATCCAGCAATGCCGAAAAGTGACGTGGAGCTGTCAGCCAGCAATGCCACAATCCCGCACACATGTCGGCTCCACCAGAGAAGACACACAAACCACAAACAACACCCTCCACATGTCATCCGAACATCATTCCGACACACCGCGACACGCCAAACAGAAGTATTCGTCACCCCAATGCACCTCCCCACACAATCACATGGTCCATGCACCACGCACGGCAGCAGCCCACACGCGGTCAAACAAATGTTCCTCGGATCGGTGTTATCCGCGTGTTGCAGTGGGAAGTAAACAAAAGAGACAGCTGTCAAACCCTAAAAGAGTGCCACGACTGGCCGCAATTCAACGGAATGCAGCCACTCAATGAATTCAGTCCTAGTGCCCTCAAACTCCCACCCTCCCCCACAAAAGGCCCAAGAGCTGCAATCAAACGTGACATCCAATAAAGTCGCTTTGCAAAAAAAGGAGAAACCGCAGTGCCTCCTGTTGTCATCCGAGATGTTGTTTGCTGATTAATGCGGCAGGCACTCACCTTCTCCTCAAAGCCGCGCTGCGCAACTGCAACGTATTCTTCAGAATCGCAAGTCTCCCACCAGATCGGGAAGCTCCTACGCACCTTCGTCACACACCACAATGCAAATGAAAAAACAATGCTTTAGTTGGACTGCGATGCGGACCGTGCCACGCCGCCATCAGCTGCGGCTGGGTGCAGAGGCTGGGGCGTCCCAGCACACCATGCAGTCCTTTCTGGTTGGGTGCGTCCACAGTGCGTTGCACGACGGCGGCAAAGACATCGCACCGTGTCCGGTCCCCGTTCACCTCCACAGCCTGAAGTGCGGCACCGCGACAGCTGCACAGCATCGCTCGGCCCACGCGCATCAACGAAGGATACTTCTGTCCACCTGACCGCCAATCCAGCACCGCTGCGGGGGAGCATTGTGTTCCGCGCACCCACACAACACGAACGCCTCACACTTTGGTAGATTGAGGACGTGCGTGGCGTTTTGTGCTTGGAAACCACAGTTTAGCCAACACTTGGGAAGGTAGCGGCGACATCGATCCCGCTTCCGAGAGATGCTGTTGTTAATGAATTGCGACGCGTCTGCAGCCACATGGAGATCTCCCCGGAACACATCCGCGCCCCTCATGCTGAGCACCGGATTTTCGTCCGCGACACTGTGAGCTGCAACGAGGTGAGCGTCTTCTGGCCACGGCACGCCAAGGACGCCCTGAACGGTGTCAGACGATCGGCCCTTGAAGCGGCCTGCGCTTTTCTGGGAACGTATGACGCAGGCCGCTGGACGGACGGCTCGTCTTCTCTTGCTGAGCATGCGTCTGGATCCGCCGCGCTGCCGCTTTACTCCCCCGGAGAGCCGCGCTCCCTGTTGGACCTCACCGCGCAGCTGCCGGCAGCCTTGCGTGCTCCTGCCGAGCGGTGTGTCCTGCCACTGAGCATGGCCACAGACAGTTTTCAGTTCCCCGCCTGGCAGCGACATCCCAATCGCCCGCACGAGTTCCTGTCGCCACAGACTCCCTCTCGGCGATGGAGTCGCTCCGTCTTGGCTCGCTGGCGGCGCACGACGACGTCACCGAAGAGTTTTGTATGATGCCGCTTTCACTGGCGGATCGAGTTCACACTGTTGACTTCACATGTTCGCCACGACACTGCGGAATCCCACGCAACGTGACAGCGGACGCTGATGCCGTCATTGCGCGATCCCTCCCGCAGGACTGCGTCAATGCCTGGCATGTGGGCCTCCTCACCGCAGTGAAGCGACTGTACTGGAAGGAAGCGCAGGAGGAAAAGGAAGGCGCGCACACCGCGTGACAGGCGCTTGTCGGTGTGGCGAGGGCTCTATTCCTAATGTTGACCCGGACATCACGCCCGAGTGGCGGCACCGCGCACTGCGCGATGCGACTCCTGCCCGCTCTTCGACAGGCCTGCACGCACCCTGCGGATCACAAGTCGCCATGTGTCGGTGGTGCCGTTCCTCCCTGACTGCGGTGAACGGCTCGCCTCTGCCTTCGCCGGAACCTCTTCCAGAAATGAGCACCGCAAATCCTTTCCGACCAGCGAGCGGCGGATTGACGTCCTCCTGCTCAATCTGCGGCAGAGTGCGCTCTTTTGTCAACAATATGACGGCACATGCCCGACGTGCTCAGCCTGGCGTTCGGATGGTTTGACAGGCCTCACATGCGGATGCCACAATGGCGCCACCGTCTTCCTAAAAGTTGCCTCGCGCGCAGGTCGCCACCGAAGTCGCCAAGCACGCCAGCAGGCAAGGCACGCAGGAAGCACGAACGCGGACACTCGAGATGGACCAGGCCCTTCCGCCACCGCCTCATCACAGACGCCACGGGCTGCTGATCCCACGACGGACCACGGGAGACTCCGCTTCATCCACTGTGGTAATGCCCTGTCATTGAGAACATGGACTGTGACTGGCTGGGACTGCCCCAGCGTGCACGATGGCTCGTTTGCGACTGAATGCTTGTCACGTTTGTACGGACGGCCCTTGCGCTATTTACTCATTGCTGTAGCAGAATAGAAAGAAATGAAAAACAAAAACAGATCGTCGTCATGATGATGAAGGTTGGCTGCACTTCCCGTGGGCCAACAATCCACGTGGTGTGCGGGGATCATTCCCTTTTTTAATTGTTACTTTGCTTTTGTGTTGCTGTGTGCGCTGCACCTCCTCTTGTGTGTGTGCGTACCCTCCGTGAGGGGTGCCGACACGACGGACCGCTCTCGCCGTATGTGCATGCGGTGGAGCCTTGTGTGCCGCTCCTGTTTGCTTCTCCCTCCTCCATCTGTGTGTTGTTGTTGCGGCAGGGCTGTGTGTGTGCCTGCTGCCGTGGATTGGAGTGTGTGTCGTGCGTGGTGTGCGGCGTACGGTGCATGCCTGGCTGCTGCCCTCTCCTCATGTGGTGTGCCCTCTGTGTGTGTCTGCCGCAACTCTCGTCTCCCCTGTTGCTCTCCATGTCCCTCACTGTGCAGATCGGCTCCACACCACTGAACGACCACACTCACGATGATGACGTGCCGTCTGCTGTGCGCCCTGTTGGTGCTCGCCCTGTGCTGCTGCCCGTGCGTCTGCGGGACAGCAAGTGGTGAGGCTCAAGTTTCAACCACCGGCCATCTACCCCCACTGCCACAGGGGCAAACTCGGGAGACCATGTCTTCTGGTTCAAAAGCCCCTACACCCCCCAAGGCGAATACTTCCGATGAGGTGGATCTGCCAGTTACGGTAGATGCGGAAGGGGGGTCAGATGTATCGTCCACTACACAGGATGGAATAATTCTGCCTGGTAAACCAGGGTCAGACGGTGGGATCAAAAGTCAGCCAGGGTTAATAGATAATCCCGAACAGTCAGTTGTAAAGAGTCAGGCGCAGGAAACAGGAGAGTCAAAAGGTAATAAAGATTTTACGGTAAAGACAAACACTACGACGAATACGACACCAATTACAACTACAACTACGACCACGACGACCACCACCGCCGCGCCCGAGGCACCAAGTACTACGACTACAGAGGCACCAACCACGACGACCACCCGCGCACCGTCGCGTCTTCGCGAAATCGACGGCAGCCTCAGCAGCTCTGCGTGGGTGTGTGCCTCGCTGCTGCTCGCCGCATCCGCGCTGGCGTACACCACTCTGGGCTGAAGAGGTGTGCATGCGGGCTGTACGTGCCAGCACTCAGCCACGGGGATTTGTGCGCGTCAACTGTGGTCCGATGTAAATAAATAGGATAAAAATAATGATTGTGTTTTGCTTTGTTTGCTTCCGCTGCCCTGCTGTGTTCTCCGCGTTGCTGCCTCTGTATCCGTCACTTGGCACGTATCCCAGACACACTCATATTCATGCGCACGAGAGACTTGTGTGTGGTTTTTATCTTTTTTTTTGCTCTTTAATTAATTTTTTTTTTTTTACGTCTGGTTTCAGGGCGGTGTGGGAGTTCTGCAATCGTGCTGATATCATCTGTCCGTTTGTGTGTGCACAGATTCTGCTGGGCTGCTTCCATTTGTGGCTGTTGTGTGTGGTGTAGCTGCCTTGTCTTTTCTTTTTGCTTCCGCTTTGCGTTGACGGGGCGTTATTTTGTGCTGAAGGCTACACGCAAGTGACAGGAGTGATGGCGATGATGACTGGCCGTGTGTTGCTGGTGTGTGCCCTCTGCGTGCTGTGGTGCGGTGCCGGTTGTGGTAGATGTGAAGAGGAGGGGACGGCAGTTCCTGAGAGTGATGCTGATCTTCCGCTGGCATCAAAACAGCTTGAAAACTCTCCACAAGACACCCAAGGCTTAAATGGTGGAGTACCAGGTGCTAATGTAAATGTACCACCCGCATCTCCCGAACCTAGAGAGGGAGAGGATGATGTTGATGATGATGATAGTGAAGAGACGGAGGCTCAAGAAGAAATTATAGAAGGGCAGAGTGGTCAAGGAGGAACAGCTGCAATAGGCTCAGATTCCATGGAAGAGAATTTAATTGGCAGTGAGAAGAAAACAGGCCAGTCAATTGTACCTGCGAAGGACATTCCTCATTCCGGCAGTCAGGAATCAAATGCCAATCCTACGCAAAAGGAAATTGAAAAGAAGGACTCCGGCAAAAATACACCAGCAGTAGGGAACGCACTCACAACACGTAACGGAGAGAACACACTGCCTGCGGAAGGAAATCCTCCATCATCTCCAAAAAGCAGTGATGATTCCCGCAAACAGGATGGCGAAGACACAACGAGTGAAGAAGAAGAAAATGTTCCACCGCCTGAGACCGCCGCCACACCACAAAGCCACCGAGACAAAGGCACAGAAGGGACTGTGGAAGATACAAAAGCAACGACAGTAACCGCCAACACAAGAGATACGACGAGCACACAAAACAGTGACGGCAGCACCGCGGTCTCCCACACCACCTCCCCTCTTTTGCTTCTTCTTCTTGTTTCATGTGCGGCTGCGGCTGCGGTGGTGGCCGCGTGAGAGTGAGGGAGAGAGAGCCGTGCACCGCCCGCACACACACTCGTCCTTCTCTGTGTGTGTGTGTCCCCTTGCATGGACTCTCGCCCTCACCTCACCCCACGAGGCACACACAATAATGTGCCCATTGTATATATGCATGCACACCCATGCAGGCCCGTTGGTGCTCTCTTTTGCACCACACGCACCGCTGCCGTCCTGCCTGGCTGCATGGACGGAGCACCGTAACTGTTTCTGTTTTTGTTTTTATTGCATTGAGTGGGCGACCTTTCTCTCTCTCCCTGTGTGTGTGTTTTGCTTTACGGGAGTAATGAGAGTGTGTGCGCTGGTCGTCCCACGCTTCGGCCCTTTGTTTTTTTCATTGTTTTACTTGTGTTGAGGTTGAGTGCACCCATTACTCCTTCATTTTTTTTTTTTTGATCGGTGGCTTGCTTTGACTGTGGACGCCTAATTACTCTTTTTTGTATTCTTATATTGTTTCTTTCTTGTTGAGAGAGTGTCATTCTCTTGTATCCTTGTGACGCCACCAAGTTTCTTTTTTTTGACATACGCCATGCGTCAGATGATCCACGTTACTCTGCGGCCTGCGGCGCTGCTGGAGCTTTTTTTGATGATGTCTGCGATGTGATTTGTCGGCGGGTGTCTTGCTCTCAGCGTGACGCATCCTTCGTTCCTTGACGATTTGTTGCGTACCGACGGTGCGTGGGCGTCTCTGGTGATGGTGGGGGACGCGTGTCTCAGAGCGCAGGATGCGTCGCGGGTGTGAAGCGTCGTTTGTAAGAACCGATGGGTGACCATCCGCATCCAGGCGTCATGACGGACTGTGAGGGCAGCATAAGGCACTGCGGCTTCTTTTGGTTTGCACAAAGAATGTAATGGACGGTGCGTTTGTCTTCAATCTTTTGGGTCCTTTGTGGGGGAAGGTGGGAGTTTGAGGGCATTAGGACTGAATTCATTTGAATGGCTGTGTTACGTTGACTTGCGGCCAGTCGTGGCACTCTTTTGGGGGTTGGCAGCTCGTCTCTCTTGTTTGCTTCCCACTGCAGTACGTGGATAACACTGATGCGAAGAACATTTGTTTGACCACGTGTGAGCTGCTGCCGTGCGTGGTGCGTGGACTATGTGATTGTGTGGGGAGGTGCGTTGGGGTGACGAACACTTCTGTTTGGCGTGTCGCGGTGTGTCGGAATGATGTTCGGATGACATGTGGAGGGTGTTGTTTGTGGTTTGTGTGTCTTCTCTGGTGGAGCCGACATGTGTGCGGGGATTGTGGCATTGCTGGCTGACAGCTCCACGTCACTTTTCGGCATTGCTGGATGTGCTGAGGAATGACGGCTGGCGACCAGCGTGTTGGTGCTGCTGGTGGGAATAAGTGCATCGGGAATGGGCCACTTTCTCCTTTCCGTGCTGGAGCCGATGAACTGGCACGAGGGCACCGGCTGCAGACTGCCTGTCAGCACGTGTGAGCAGCGGATCCATGCACACACCGACGCCCATCGCAAGAGCGTGTGCGATCACAGTGGCCTTTTGTTGCGTGCTTTTATTGACGTCAGCCCATCGAAGAATGTGTGAAGCAAACGGCTGACTGCACGCGAGGAAAATAAGTGCGTGCACTGTGCCGTGTTTCGGCGTCGATGTCAGAGCGACAGGAGGCCCGTGCTGGCAACTGAGATCTTTGCGTCGCGAGGGATGTCGGTGTTGATTTTGGATTGTCGAGGGCGAAGCGATTTTGCTGCTGCCCGTGTGTGTGGCCACTCCGGCAGAGGGCGGACACAACAGGGAGGGATGCAGGCGCTGCGTGTGTGTGTGTGTGCAGGTGCCATGCAACAACGTCACAACAAACATGCTGCGACTCGGTGACCCTCACATCGCTGTGGTCCTCACGAACAGCCGACGCACGGTTCACACCGATGCACTCAGTGGACGGAGTGTGGCATCTTTTGAGGCGCAGCAGGGAGCAGGATGTGTTGACGCAGCCACGACGTGCATGGAGTGTCACGATGGCACAGGCAGCTGTGGCTGGTGGAATATTTACTTCTCGGAGGCAACAGAGAGAGAGAGAGCTGCTCCTGCTGCTGGCGTTGTTGCTGCTGCCTTTTGTGGCCTCCCATGCCGATTATTGCCTGTCCGCTGATCATGGGTGGCATGCCTCCACTAGTGACGTCGTCTGCAGTCATTTCACAGCACCAGTGAAACACACATCACGTCGCATGCCTTGGCTGTGGATGTGGTGTCGTGCATGCAGCCGGCACTATTTTGCCCGACTCCTTTTCACTGCCTTGCGACAAATGGATGCGTCGCCGCCCGAGTCATTCACCGCAGCTCCGTGTGCTGTACTGCCAGCACAATACTCTCCTGTTGTGTGGCGCCTGGCTGACAGTCGAACACCACTGCGTTGGGACATGCAGGGATGTGGACTGCCGCTCACAATGTTGGGCACCGCTGTTTGGATGCGGCGGCCACACGAGCGGATGTATTGTGGCACAATCAAATGCGTGAAATACGCGGAATCACAGCGGCTGCAATAATATCAGCGGTGTGGCACCACGGAGTATGTGAGTGGGTGATGCATGGTGAATCACAGTGGGCGGCATGCGAGGGAAGTGCACCGCGACGGAGCGTCATCCCGCCCTCAGCCTGCAGGGGAATGTGCACCCACAAAATATATGGACGAGGCACCACCAAACACACATGCCCTTCCATGCACCAACAAATAGGAGCGAAGGTGCGTTCTGGTGTGCGGGAGTCCACACATATTTTCATTTCCACCACAATAAACGGTGAGGAATCAGGTGCCACAGCAACGAAAGGAAAAACAAACATCTATTGCAGCACTTCACCAGCGAAAGGCAGGAACAACACAAACCGAATTATTGGCTGCAACAACACAATAAAGATTCACAAGAGAAAAGAAAAATAATTGTGCACCCTGCAGAAATCCCCGACGGACCACGGGAAACTCCGCTTCATCCACTGTGGGAATGCCCCGTCGTTGATAATATTGACTGTGACTGTTTGGGACTGCCCCAGCCCGCACGACGGCCCGTTTGCGACGGAATAATCGCCACTTTGGTACGGACGGCTCGTGCGCTAATCACTCGTTATTGTAGCAGCATACAACCAAAACAAGATAACAAGTTGCTTTGTGATGGATATTGGCCGCACTTCCCGTGGACCAACAACCCACGTGGTGTGCGGGGATCATTCCCTTTTTTTTATTGTTACTTTGCTTTTGTGTTGCTGTGTGCGCTGCGCCTCCTCTTGTGTGTGTGCGTACCCTCCGTGAGGGGTGCCGACACGACGGACCGCTCTCGCCGTGTGTGCATGCGGTGGAGCCTTGTGTGCCGCTCCTGTTTGCTTCTCCTCCTTCCATCTGTGTGTTGTTGTTGCGGCAGGGCTGTGTGTGTGCCTGTTGCCGTGGATTGGAGTGTGTGTCGTGCGTGGTGTGCGGCGTACGGTGCATGCCTGGCTGCTGCCCTCTCCTCATGTGGTGTGCCCTCTGTGTGTGTCTGCCGCACCTCTCGTCTCCCCTGTTGCTCTCCATGTCCCTCACTGTGCAGATCAGCTCCACACCACTGAACGACCACACTCACGATGATGATGACGTGCCGTCTGCTGTGCGCCCTGTTGGTGCTCGCCCTGTGCTGCCGCCCCTCCGTGTGCGCGACAGATACTGAACTGGATCCGAAGAGTGGCGCTGGTGGAAAGGCCATCAAGCCAACGTCCCCTGCACCAGAGCCACCAACCGTTACGTCTGAGGTTGTGGCGCGGTCAAAAAATAATTCCGATAAAACAGAGGGACAAAATCAGGTAGCTGGTGGAGGAGGAAGTGAAAAGTCCCTTCCAACCCCTCCTGCGCCAACGGGAGAAAGTGCTGCGTCCGGTACGAAAGGTTTCACAGATCCGGGAACCGGCAGGACACAGGAACCAGATGCAGTGGCCGGAGCCGAAGTGTTACAAATAAAGCCCGGAAATGAAGAGTCACCGGATTCGAGGAGCATTACAGCGCCAAGTACGACAACAACGACGACTACAACCACTACTACAACACAGGCGCCAAGTACTACGACTACGGAGGCGCCAACCACGGCGACCACCCGCGCAGCGTCACGTCTTCGCGAAATCGACGGCAGCCTCAGCAGCTCTGCGTGGGTGTGTGCCCCGCTGCTGCTTGCCGCATTCGCGCTGGCGTACACCACTCTGGGCTAAGAGGGAGCATTGGCTGTGCGTGCCAGCACTCAGCCACGGGGATTTGTGCGCGTCCACTGTGGTCCGATGTAAATAAATAAGAGAAAATAATGATTGTGTTTTTCTTCACTTGCTTCCGCTGCCCTGCTGTGTCCTGGTGCATGCACACTGGAGCCATTTGGGCGCAATTTTTTGTTTTTCCTTGTTTTGTGTTTTTCTTGTTAAATCATTACAGAGCGTTGTGCGTTTTGCACTTTCATTGGTTCAATATTTCTCATGAAATGCGTGTTGTGTGTGGTGTTTTTTACTGTGCCGTGTCCTTTCTTTTGCTTTCCCTCTGCGTTGACGGGGCGTTAGTTTGTGCTGAAGGCTACACGCAAGTGACAGGAGTGATGGCGATGATGATGACTGGCCGTGTGCTGCTGGTGTGTGCCCTCTGCGTGCTGTGGTGCGGTGCCGGCGGAGGCGATGCAGAAATGAACGATGAATCATTGGTTGGTTCACAGCATGTATCTGGTGTCGGTGAAAAATCTCCAACGGGATTACCGGAGTCTGGCGAACGAGTGCCTGACAGCGCGGGGCATTCTTTGGGCATAAATAATGGGATTAATTCCAGTCTGCAAGAGGGGACAGGCACAGGAACAACAACAGACAGAGTTGGGAAGAAAGAAGAGGAAGATAATGATGATGATGATCTTGAAGAAGCAGAAGAAGAGAGAAGCAAAGAAAAAGAAGATACGGCACAAACCAGAAAATCCAAAACTTCATCGAAAGAGGTGGCAGCAACAATACCAACAGTATCTGGTCTCAGTGAAAGTGATGGTGGCAGTCCTTCTGGTGTTGATGGTGTTGGCTCAAGTGAAAGTTCTGACGGAAGTGAAGATTTGAATTTGGAGGTTCCTGGTCCTGTCGTGAACTCTCCGCCTCCCCTTTCCAATGCTGCTGCTGGTGGTTTGCAGAATACCGACGGTGCTTTATCGCCTCAGAAGAATAATTTCCCAGAAACAGGTGTGCATTCAGGAACGACGCCTCTAGCACCCTCACTGCCCAAATCACAGGCACCCGCGATAACACAACCAAAAGCAGAAGAGCAGTCCTCCACTGAGCAGGACACAGAAGATAGTCCAGACACAGGGGAGGTCACAACTGGAAAAAAGAACGTGCAGAATACTGTGGAGACGGGAATTCCCTCCAGGTCGTTGTCTGCCGCCAGCAAGCCGCCCGTACAACAACCAACGCCACTATTAGCACCATCACCGGCAGTGCCATCACCAGGACGATCAGCACCAGCACCATCAGAAAAAAAATCAACAGCACCGAGTTTTTCAGCAGGAGAAGGAAGCCGTAGAGCACCAAACGTCGCACAGAACTCAAAGGAAGAAAAGAATGAAAAATTGCCGTCAGAAACCGAAACGGAGTCCAAAGCGGTGGAACAGCCTTCAGGGAATGATGTGGCAGAGCAAGACAGTCCAGCGCGAACAACAGCATCACCCATCCCCGCAAGTGGCAGTGCCGATGCCCAGAGAAATGAGGACGCGGATAATAGCAATGCTCAAGTGCTTAAATCCGAAGGAACACATGAGAACTCCGAAACTGGTTATATAAACCTTGCTTCTACAGCCGGTGATGCAGCAACACAAACAGAAAAACCACTCGCCGACGCCAAAACAAACGATACGGCGACACGTGGCGACAGTGACGGCAGCACCGCGGTCTCCCACACCACCTCCCCTCTTTTGCTTCTTCTTCTTGTTGTTGCGTGTGCGGCTGCTGCTGCGGTGGTGGCCGCGTGAGAGTGAGGGAGGGAGAGAGCCGTGCACCGCCCGCACACACACTCGTCCTTCTCTCTCTGTGTGTGTCTCCCCTTGCATGGACTCTCGCCCTCACCTCACCCCACGAGGCACACACATGATGTGCCCATTGTATATATGCATGCACACCCATGCAGGCCCGTTGGTGCTCTCTTTTGCACGACACGCACCGCTGCCGTCCTGCCTGGCTGCATGGGCGGAGCACCGTAACTGTTTCTGTTTTGTTTTCATTGCATTGAGTGGGCGACCTTTCTCTCTCTCCCTGTGTGTGTGTTTTGCTTTACGGGAGCAATGAGAGTGTGTGTGCGCTGGTCGTCCCACGCTTCGGCTTTTTTTATTGTTTTCCTTTTTGATTTTGTGGTTGAGTGCACCCATTCCGCGGACTGCGTGTGTGTGATTATATGAGTAATTTGCGTGTGTGCTATCTGACTCTCTCTGCCGTTTCTTTCTTGACTCTCTTGTGCCGCACAGCTGCTCTGCATGTGTAGGCGCTGACAAACACACAAGCACATGCACACATGCACGCCATTATGCATACTCTGTAGCGCGGCGTGAACGCCGAGAACGCACTTACACACAAGGTTTTGACAGTGGTGGCACTTTCGAGGAGGCATGACAGAGGGCTGCGATTTGTATCCTCGAAGCGTTGCGAGTGTGATGTTTGCGGCGTGCAGCCGGTGAGTGTGGGTTAGGGTGCCTTTTGCGAGTGTGGATTGATTCCCGCCCAGCTGCGGCACGTGCCGACGTCACTCTCGCTGTGACTTTGCCGACGGAGGATTCTCCGACTGTTCGGGGTGATGTGCGCCTGCGGCGGTTGAGGAGCGGGTGCTTTGGGGGAGACAGCAGTAAAAGGACTCGCGGTAGCGCGCGGGTGCTGCGAAGGACGGCGTGTCCTTTTGCATCCCGCTATTTGTTCTGCCGGATGTGTGCGTTGCTTGGTGTTGGCACACACGATGCAGAAGCACCTCTCGTGGCTTCTGCTTTTGGTGGCAGTTGCTTTGCTTCCGGCGCAGTCTATTTTCTTTATACAGTGTGCCTGTGCGCGCGTGTTGTTGTTGTTGTTGGGAGTGCCTGCGGCGGGGATGATGATGCCGCTCACTGTGGATGGGTCGCGGTACTTACCGTTTCACCCCTTTTATTCGGTATGTTTTTCTTCATTTTTTTGCTCTATTACTCATGAAGAAGGGAAACAAGCGCTAATCGCTATTGTGAAATTCGAAGGCTCTGAAAGGACCAACAGCACACACACCGCCCACACACATATATTTATATGCTCTCACGTGTTGCTGCAGTGAAGGCACCCCGTACACACAATTATCGCCGCGTAACCGGATCCAGCGGAAGGAGGAGGGAAGGAAGAGAGAGTGAGCGGCAGAGGCCCAACATGTCCCGGCGTGTGTTTCCTTCCGCGGTGCTGCTCCTCGTCGTGATGATTTGCTGCGGCATTGGAGTTGCGCGTGCAAAGAAGGTGGGTGATCCAAAGCCTATGGTTATTTTTGTATGGTGGGAACGAAGGCGTCTTCTGGCGCATTTGAGAGGCAACGGCTATGGAGAAAATAGTTTCAAATTCTTTATTGGCCGTTTTCTTGTTGAACTACTATGGCTTAATTGTGGGTATTGCCAAGGCCAATTAGGGAGTCCCTTCTAGTGCCAGTGTTGGGATTTGGTCAAAGTACTTGAGTTTTACAGGGGAGGAGTGGACGAAAGGAATCGCAGCGGAGAGCGTGACGGACTGGAGGACGGACATTGCCGTGGAACGAAGAGAAGAGGCGGTTCACATGTCTCAATTGAACGGTCGCAAGGCGTTGACGAAAGACGGCAAGATTTTTCTGCCCTTGGAGCGCCTTCCTGCGAAAAATGCCGGTGCGATGTTGGAAACTCCACACAGGTGGGAGCTTGTGCCTGTTTTGGGTAAGGTTGTTGGTCTCCAACGATGGGGGAAGGCGCATCACGTGGGGTGCTGGGAGCCTTTCCAAGGCTGTTGTTGACTCCCAGCTGCGAGGGAAGTCATGGAATGGGTACTGGGGTATTAGCGCCAGGGGCGTGGTGGCGAATGGCACCGCGATTGTGTTTCCCTTGTGACTGTGAAGGGGGACAACACAAAAGTCTGCACCATCACCCATTCGAAGGGCTGTGGCAGGAATTGGGGGTTCCCTGCAGAGGGTGTTGCTGACGGGACTGCGCTGATCCCTATCTCTTTGAGTGGGAGGGAAAACTTCTCGCGGCCGCCACGCATGGAGGCCATGACGGGAAAGTGCATGATTCCGGTGGAATGGGGAAGGAATGGATAGAATTCGGCGGAGCACATTCGAATGTCTTGAGTGAGGCCTTGAAGAGTGCTACGACTGGTAGCCGACTTGACATCGTGACGGCATCCATCGAGGGGAGGAGTGTAGTGCTGTTTGCTTTGCCCAGGCAGAATAATATTCGGAGAGCCACGAGCGTGTTGCTTCTTTATATGACTGATATGGCCTGATTTTACCCCATTGGACCGTTACGTGCTGATGGTGTTTCTAAAAACGCAGATACTCTGCAGTACAGGGGTGGTGAACTGTTTGCCCTGTTCGAGTGGTATGCGGGACAAGGGCGTGTTGTGCTCGCACACCTCACTGAGCAGCTGGAGGAAATAATGACTGTGCTGAGGACTTGGGATGCAGTCGACAAGAACGTCACAACGCCTTGCACTTCCACCAGCAAGGAGGGAACCGCATCCGACGGTGCCTGCAGCACTCCTACGCCCACGGATGGGGTGGTCGGATATTTGTCCAACGAGGGTGAGAGGGATTGCTGGGTGAAGGAATATCTCGCGGCGAGTGCCACGGTGATTGGGACAGCAGCGAAGGTTGAGGGCGGTGCGACGTTTGAGGGGCCTGGAGTGTGGGCAGAGTGGCCTGTGGGTAATCGGTGGCGGAATCAACGATTCCACATTGTGAAGAAGGAGTTCACACTTGTGGTGACGGCGACGATTGGGGCGGCTCCTGCAGGCAGCGGCAGCGCCATTATGGTGGCTGCGGGTGGCGCTGGGAGCGTGAGGATGGTGGGACTGTCAGTCACGGCGGACAATAAGCGGGAGGTGGCGTTTGACGGTGAGACGGGAGAAGTGCAGCACGGGAACTGCGGGCTGGAGAGAACGTACCGGGTGGCAATTGGGCTCCAGAACGGTATGGGCACCGTGTGCGTGGATGGCGAAACTTTGGGGAGCTCAGCAACGACAGTTACACGTGGGCCGCAGTTGCTCGACGTCTCATGCTTCTACGTTGGAGGTGACGGTTGCAGTGGCTCATACTGCAGTCAGGTGACGCTGACGCATGTCTGTCTGTGCAGCCGCCCACTGACCAGGCAGGAACTACAGATGCCCCTTTCGCGTGGCAAGCAGACTGAAGCGGATTGCAGGGAGGGAAAAGCGACACCGCGCCCCGGTAATTTTTTGGCCAAACAGCCGCTGGATCTGGGCGTTGACGCGGCTGCGGGGGAAGAGGTGCCAATGCCCGCCAAGGGGAATTTGGCTTGGGAAACAGCACCACTGATGTCAATGGCTCTACTGTTTTATTGTTTTAAAAATGGATTGGTGACGGCGCCGTCCATGGGTGTGTGCCTTGGGCATTTTCTGGCTTTACTTCAAGGAGTGCGTGGGGACGTGGCATTTTTATGAGCCGTAGAATGCGGTTGTGCGATTTCTAATGGACAGTATGTGCCGCTTTTTCCGCGTGTTTTCCTTGCTGTATTTAAATGATTTGTTGTCATTGTCTGCTGCTGCTTGTGCACGGATGGGATAGTCAGCACCCTTCTTTTCCTTTTGCCTCCGATGGTTAATTGCTGCACACTGTCACGAGTGACGCGTTTCTCCTTCTTGTTTTTTTTTTTTGTTGCCCACACGCTATGTCGGCCTTATTGCTGTGCGTCCCACGGACTGCACGAAAGGAGGAGCGGAAGATGAGGCCGGATGCCGCAATGAAATGTGAGGGATGTTGTTTGGGCTGGTGGAGCAGTAGGATTTTTCTTAATTTCATTTCTCTTCTTGGTGCGGGCATTATTTATACACAGCCACACACGGTTGTCTTGTGTTGCTTGGCATATGAAATAGAATTTCTTCCCGATTGATTTTTTATATTCCTCCCCTGAAGTTCTGTTGGACTCCTATCATTTTTTTTGTGTGTTCTTTTTTTCTTTTTTCTTTGGTTTTTAACTTTTATTTTGCATGGCGGTGTGCGAGTTCTGCGGTTGTAATGATTCCATCTGTCTTTTTTGGTGTGCGCTTCTTCTGGCTGCTGCCATTTATTACCATGCGGTGGCTGTGCGTGGTGTAGCTGCTGTCTCTCTCCCTTTGCTTTCTCATGCTCCTGCAGATCGAATCCACGTTATTCAACAGCGATATTTTTGACGGTGATGCGCCGTGTGTTCCGTGTCGTGTTGGTGCTGGCACTGCTGTGCTGCTGCTCGTGCGTGTTTGCCGTGAAGGGAGGGAAGGAGCAAGAGCCGCAGGTGACGCAGGTGGATGCGGAGTGTGCGGGTAAGGATAAACTCGGGCGCTGGCAGCTCCCTGGGAAGTCATTGTGGTACAACTGCACGGCTGCAGCTCGTGGTTTTGGGCAGATGATTTGCGGCATGGGCGTCGGAAACTGTGCCTCCGAGGATTTTAAGAAACGTATAAAAGATGGTGCGGAGCATGGTGTCTTCACGATCAACGTCTCCACGTTTACTCCAAGCGCCGTGAAGAGTTGGTGGGAGCGTAACGTGGAGCCGAAGGCGGTCACCGCTGCAATTGTTCCGGCAAAACCTCCTGCAGCAGAACCTCCGAGCCCTCAAGAAGACAAGGATTCTCGTGAAACATCTTCTAGAACTGATTCCGATTCTTCTCCTGCTGTCGTTGAGAATTCCACGGATGTCCCTCCTTCTTCTCTACCTGCAACTCCAGGCGGCACAGGTGCTAACTCTGCTGCTGTCGCTGCGGCCACGACGGATCCTTCTGCTGCGGCCTCGCAAGCGTCGGAATCCGCTCCCTCTGGTGATCCTCAAGGCCCTTCACATTCTGCCTCTGCTGCCTCTCCCGCACCCGAATCCCCACCAGATCCGGAGCCCACAGAAGGCGGCGACCACTCCTCCCACGAACCTCCAGTGGAGCTGCAGGAAGAGACTGCTGCGCCACCGACTCAGTTGTCCCAGACCGGCGAGGACGGGAGTGCAGCGGGAGGCACCGAAGAGGACACCGCCGCCAACACCACCACCGACACTGCTTCTGGCGAAGGAAATTCTGCGGCGGCAAGCATGCCGGCTCCCCTTTCCTCTGCGCCCACAACGAACGCTCTGGAGAAAAGTGTGGGAACTGACGCCTGCTTCCATGACACCCGTCTGCATGCCCTGCCACCGCTTGTTCTGGCTGCGCTCACGTACGGGACACTGGGCTGAAGAAGTGAATGCGGGCTATAATTGCTAGAACTCAGCCACGGGGATTTGTGCGCTTCTTTCGTTTTATTGCGTAATAAATAATAGAAAACAATGATTGTGTGTTTTGTTCCATTTGCTCCTGCTGCTCTACTGTGTGCTCCATGTTCTTGCCTCCCGTGTCCGTCACTTGGCACGCATCCCAGACACATTCATATGCACGACACGCCCACAACTGTTTGCGAGGGCGCATATCTGTGTGCATGCACGCTGGAGCCATTTGTTGCAGCTCCTTCTTTGTTTTTTGTGTTTTTACTGTTTTTCTCATTTCTGATTTTTTAATTTAGTTCTGTTTTTCCTTGTTTTGTGTTTTTCTTGTTAAATCATTACAGAGCGTTGTGCGTTTTTGCACTTTCATTGGTTCAATATTTCTCATGAAATGCGTGTTGCTGCTGCTGGTGTTTGTTACTATGCCGTGTCCTTTCTTTTGCTTTCCCTCTGCGTTGACGGGGCGTTAGTTTGTGCTGAAGGCTACACGCAAGTGACAGGAGTGATGGCGATGATGATGACTGGCCGTGTGCTGCTGGTGTGTGCCCTCTGCGTGCTGTGGTGCGTTCCGGCCGATGGAGATATTGTTGTTGTTTCTGGTGGGGACGACAACATTCTGAAAGAATTATTTATTCCAGTTGCGAGATTGCGGTTAAGACAAGAAAAAAGAGCAGCAGAAGCAATAGCTGACGCAAAGGCAGCAGCAGAAACAGCAGCAAAGGCAGCAAAAGCAGCAACAGAAGCAACAAAAACAGCAGCAGTAAAAGCAGAAGAAGCAGAGGCAGCAGCAGAGGCAGCAGCCAAAGCAGCAGAAGCGGCAGAAGCGGCAGCAGAAGAAGCAAAAGCAGCAGCCACAGAAGCGGCAAAGGCTGTAGACACAGAGGAAAAAGCAAGAGCAGCAGCAGCAGCAGCTGAATCAGCAGCAACAAAAGCAACGACAGCATCAAAAGCAGCAACAAAAGCAAAAGCAGCAGCAGAAGAAGCAAAGGCAGCGGCAGAGGCTGCAGCAGCAAAGGCAGAAGAAGCGGAAGCAAAGGCAGCAGCAGAGGCAGCAGCAACGGCAACAGAAGCGGCAGAAGCAGCAAAGGCAGCAGCAGAGGCAGCAGCAGAGGCAGCAGCAACGGCAACAGAAGCGGCAGAGGCAGCAGCCACAGCAGCAAACGCGGCAACAGCTGCAGCAAAAGCAGCAGAAGAAAAAGATGAAGCAGAAGAAGCAGCAAAAGAAGCAGCAAAAGAAGCAGCAGCAGCAAAAATAATAGCAGCATCAGCAGCAAAAGCAGCAAAAGAAGCAGCAGAAAAGGCAGAAAAAGCAAAAGCAGCAGCAGAAACAGCCGAAGCAAAAGCAGCAGCAGCAGCAGAAGCAGCAGCAGCAGAAAAGGCAAAAGCAGCAGCAACGGAAGCGGACGCAAAAGCAACAGCAGCAAAGACAGCAGAGGCAGCAGCAGAAGCACTGCGAGGAACAACAGTCGGAGAAGAGAAAGGAAAAACAGCAATACATGATCAGGATAATTCAGTCGAACACCATTCTGGAGAAAAACAAGAGCTTCTACAAGAACAAGAACCGGAACGACAAGAAAAAGAACAGCATGAAAAGCAGCAACACCAACAGCGTGAGCATTCCGCACGAAATACTGAAGAATCCGCGAAAGACAATACTGCTAATGGTACAAATGCAACCGCAATTACGGACGACACCGACAGCAGCACCGCGGTCTCCCACACCACCTCCCCTCTTTTGCTTCTTCTTGTTTTTGCGTGTGCTGCTGCTGCTGCGGTGGTGGCCGCGTGAGAGTGAGGGAGAGAGAGCCGTGCACCACCCGCACACACATTCTTCCTTCTCTCTCTGTGTGTGTGTGTCCCCTTGCATGGACTCTCGCCCTCACCTCACCCCACGAGGCACACAATAATGTGCCCATTGTATATATGCATGCACACCCATACATGCCCGTTGGTGCTCTCTTTTGCACGACACGCACCGCTGCCGTCCTGCCTGGCTGCATGGGCGGAGCACCGTAACTGTTTTGTTTTGTTTCTATTGCATTGAGTGGGCGACCTCTCTCTCTCTCCCTCTGTGTGTGTGTTTTGCTTTACGGGAGCAATGAGAGTGTGTGCGCTGGTCGTCCCACGCTTCGGCTTTTTGTTTTGTTTTTTAATTTTTTCCCTGTTTGTTTCAAAAATTTTTTTTTATTTTTCGTTTTTCTTTTTTTTTTCCAATCTCTCATCCCCCATCCCTCTTTTGCTTTTGGGGGCAATCACTATGGACGTCTTTTCTACTCTTCCCTCTTTAATTGTTTCTTGCTGCACTCTTCCTGTGAGGGGTGCCGTGTGTTTCCGCCCAACTGCTCCACTCGCACATCCACCGACACGCTCACGACGACGGCCCTGTGCGCCTCGCCTGCTGCACGCATGAGGAGGGGCCGCGACGAACGGCGCGCTGAGGGAGCCGTGACGTGTGGGCGTGCGACGAGGGCCTGTGGGGCGGAGCAAACATTTCTTCCCCTCTTGTTTTGTTTTATTGCGGCCAGGGCGGGCGGACACCCGCAGCGCCACACACACACAGCCACACCCTGCCGCCGTGTTTTTAAGATTTTTTTCTGCGCTCACTCTCCCGATGGAGTGACGCGACCGCCATCATGTCTGCGTGCTTCTCTCAGTCCACACACACACGAGTGACTGTGCTCTGCGGGCCGCACTCACGCCCCGATGAGAGGGCTGAGGGGAGCAGCAACACGCAGATGACCCCATGAAATATAAACGATGTGCGGACACACAGAGGGCCAGACGGTTGAAGGACATTTAAATATTTTTTAATTTTATTTTGGGGGCAAAATATATGCAGACAGTTTGGTGTGGCCACACGGCAGCCGGCTGTCCTTTTCAAATTTGTGTGGAACAGTAATGGACGATTTCTTTTTTATTTATAATTATTTTGTGTGATGGGGTTTGTGTAAGACGAAGGGGAAAGATCTTTTGTTTTGGATAAATTTTGTGTGAATTGCTGCTGCTTTTTCTGCGGTGCAGTCATGAGTTTGAGCGGTCTTCTTCTTGTTGCTTCCGCCGTGCAACTCCGCTGTACATTTTTTTGTGCGTCTCTCCACACACTCTGCTTCCTTTTTTCTACTTCTTTGCTTTGTGTTTCTGCAGGCACACACACAAGATGCACATTGCAGTGGATTTGAATGCTTCTTTTGCAGTGCATGCTGGCAGTTGCGTGTGTCGGCTGTTGTCTTCTTCCGTGGCCATGAGGAGAGGGATAGGGAGTGCGCAGCCCGAGTCCCTTTCCTGCGGGTGTGGAGCACCGCGTGTGGCTGCGTTGAGTTGGGCTCCGTGTCCCATTGAGGGCGGGATGGCCGGAAATTTTGTTGCCGTGTCATGGATGGATGAGGGTCCACTGTCGTGTGGCTGTTGAGTGGTATGTGAACTGTGCGGCTGGGCCTGCTGCCCTCTCCTCATGTTGTCTGCGCTCTCTCGCTGTATCCGCTGTGCCCCGTTCTTCTCCCTCTTGTTGTATTCTTTTTCTTCTGCCTGACCGATCAGCTGACTGGCCCCAGCGACTCCACGACGAGTGACGGCGACTGCGATGGTAACGGTGTGCGCCGTGTTGGTCCTTGCGCTCTTGTGCTGCTGCTCGCTCCGTGTGCGTGACGGCGACAGGAGACGATAATAATGATAACAGCCGTCTTCCCAGCCCTGAGCTAGGGAAACCGGATCCTACAAAAATATGCCTGGTGCATTACAGCCAGATGGTGAGGAGACCGGTGGGCCACAGAGAGTGGGAGAAACAGAGAGGAAGGTTTGAGAAGACAAGGACCTTCTTTGCCAAAGGAAGCAGGCACGGCCATCACTGGACAGACACCAGTTCCGCCAGAGACAATGAGTTCGGCTAGCGATAATCCAGAGACACCAAGCTTAGCAACTCAGTCTCCACACACACAAGGCGCGACCGGTAAGTCAGATGCACAAAATAAAAAAGCGCAGGAAAATACACGAGGCGATGGGAATCATAAAGCAGAGATACAAAAACCAGAGGATCAAAATGTCAAGTGTGACCACTACGACAACACAGTCACCAACCACGACGACCACCCGCACACCGTCACGTCTTCGTGAAATTGACGGCAGCCTCAGCAGCTCTGCGTGGGTGTGTGCCCCGCTGCTGCTCGCCGTATCCGCGCTGGCGTACACCAATGTGGGCTGAAGAGGTGTATGCGGGCTGTGCGTGCCAGCACTCAACCACGTGGATTTGTGAGCCTCATTTGTTTTTCTAAGTAATAAATAAGAGAAAATAATGATTGTGTTTTGCTTCACTTGCTTCTGCTGCCCTGCTGTGTGCTCCGCGTTGCTGCTCCATGTATCCGTCACGTTGAACGCATCCCAGACACACTCATATGCATGGCACGCAAAGGATTGTTTAATTGGGCACATAATTGTGGATGGGCGCATTCGCACTGGAACCATTTGTTGCAGCTCTTGTTTTTTTCTAACATCATTGCTCTTGTTTTCTTTTGCTTTGTTTTTACTTGTTTAGTGTTTTATTACAGTTTAATTGCTGCGGGGCATTGTACGTTTTTCTCTCCCACTGATTCTCTCTGTGTCATTTTGTGTGCTCTGCTTCTGGGCTGCTGGCGTTTGTTACTTTGGCTGTGAGTGGTTGTGTGATTTGTCTCTCTTTCCTTTTTGCATCCACTCTACGTTGACGGGGAGTTAGTTTGTGCTGAAGGCTGCACGCAAGTGACAGGAGTGATGGCGATGATGGCTGGCCGTGTGCTGCTGGTGTGTGCCCTCTGCGTGCTGTGGTGCGGTGCCGGCGGTAGATGTGACGGGGAGGACACGGCACTTGTTGTCGCTTCGCCTGGTGGTCGTTCGAACGACGGTAAAAGCGGGCCGGGACCAGCACCACCTTCACCGCTAGCAATACGCACATCAGGTCCAGGATCAATAGTACCAGAGAGTGAAGGATCACAAGAAATAATTGCAGGAACGTATTCAGAAGGAAGCGGAGAAAAAAATTATCAAGACGAAGATGGAGAAGAGGAAAGCGTTGCAGAAGACGGTGAAAATTCGAGACATCACGAAAGGCTTTCAGAGCAGCCAACGCAACAAGAAGTATCTCACGAAGAAACTCCAGAAGGAAAAGGATTGAAAGAAAGACTAGAAGAAAAAGATGTGTATCCACCAGGAGAGGAAGTAATAAAAGGGGCACAACAGTCACAATCGCAACAACCACCGCCACAACAATTGCAGGTACAAATAACAGCACCGGCAGGAAGAGAAGGCACAACTGCAGCAACAGGGCCAGCGCGACCACCAGCACCCGCAGAACCATCATCAAGGGATGGAAGTCGAACAATAGAACCAACAGATTCACGGAGTCCATCACAAGAATCGCATGACAAGTCACCGTTACTAACCAAAACGGAGTCCAGTGCACCTGAGCCGCCTTTAAAAGATGCTTTCCCAGAGCAACATGGTCAAGAAACAACCACACCGGATTCGGTGATGAGTGCATCTGCAGGACGTCAAGCGAGAATTACAGCACCATCCACTTCTACAAGTGACAGTGGTGAAGCCCAGAGTGAGGCGGATGGGAATGACGCTCAACGGCCCAACCCAAACGAATCACACGACGAATCCGATTCTGGCAAAACCAAAGTTCCCACAACACTCAGTGAGGCAGCACCACAAGCAACAGAAACAGTCGCCGCCACCCAAACAAACCATACGAAGACTATAGGCGACAGTGACAGCAGCACCGCGGTCCCCCGCACCACCTCCCCTCTTTTGCTTCTTCTTGTTGTTGCGTGTGCGGCTGCGGCTGCGGTGGTGGCCGCGTGAGAGTGAGGGAGAGAGAGCCGTGCACCGCCCGCACACACACTCTTCCTTCTCTCTCTCTCTGTGTGTGTCCCCTTGCATGGACTCTCGCCCTCACCTCACCCCACGAGGCACACACAATAATGTGCCCATTGTATATATGCATGCACACCCATGCAGGCCCGTTGGTGCTCTCTTTTGCACGACACGCACCGCTGCCGTCCTGCCTGGCTGCATGGGCGGAGCACCGTAACTGTTTCTGTTTTGTTTCCATTGCATTGAGTGGGCGACCTCTCTCTCTCTCCCTGTGTGTGTGTTTTGCTTTACGGGAATAATGAGAGTGTGTGCGCTGGTCGTCCCACGCTTCGGGTTTTTGTTTTGTTTTCCTTTATTGTTTTTATTGTTTTTTTGGTTGAGTGCACCCATTCCGCGGGCTGTGTGTGTGTGTGTGATGATATGAGTAATTTGCGTCTGTGCTATCTGCCTCTCTCTGCCGTTGCTTTCTTCAGACTCTCTTGTGGCGCACAGCTGCTCTTCAAGTATAGGCACTGACAAGCACACAATTGTACCCACGCCATTTTCCACAAGATATTGGCTGCGGAGGCTCTTGCGAGGAGGCATGACGGGAGCCTGCGATTTGTTTTGTTACCGTGCTGCGAGCGTGATTTTCTTTGCGTGCTGTCATGGATGGCGTGACATTGACGTTGCCTGGGAGGAGTGCGGATTGTTTTGCGGTCAGCGGCTGCACGTGCCGAAGTGTTTCTCTTGCCGTGAACCTGCCGACGAAGGATTCTCCGGCTGTGCGGGGTAATGTGTGCGGACGGTTGAGGAGCGGGTGCGAGGCAAAAGTAAAACGAATGGCGGCAGCGCGCAGGTGCTGCGAAGGACCGTTGTGCCCTTTTGCATCCCGCTATTTTTTTTTTTTGTGTGTGGGCGTCGCTCGGTGTGTGCTGACGCGGGAATAACACACCCGCCGTGGCTCCTGCTGGTGGTGGCAGTCGCTGTGTGTTCCCGGTGCACTGTTCTTCCTTCTCGTTCCGTGTGTCTGTGCGCGTGAGTTGTTGTTGCTGGGAGTGACTGCGGCGGGGATGATGGTGCCGCCTACTGTAGGTTGCGGTGCTTATTCTTTCACCCATATTTATTCGGTGTGTTTTCTCTTGATTTCTGTCAATTTCTTACGAAGAAAGCAAACAAGCGCTAAACGCTACTGTGAAATTGTAAGGCACTGAAAGGACCAACAGCACACACACCGCCCACACACACATATTGATATGCTCTCACGTGTTGCTGCGGTGAGGGCACCCCGAACACACAACCGTCGCCGCATGACCGGATCCAGCGGAAGGAGGAGGGAAGGAAGAGAGAGTGAGCCGCAGAGGCCCAACATGTCCCGGCGTGTGTTTACTTCCGCGGTGCTGCTCCTCCTCGTCGTTATGATGTGCTGCGGCAGTGGAGTTGCGCAAGGTGACGGGCCATCGCTACCTCAGGAATCTTCACTGGATAAACGTTTTGTTTGGAGAGATAAGGAAGGGGATGAAACAGTGAGTTCGCTCCATGCTCCCAGTCTTGTTGAGGTGAAGGGTGAAGCGTTTGCCGTTGCCGAGGCGCAGTGCACGAATGGTAAAAACAGCTTTACTGGGATTGCCTCGAAGCTCCTGACGTTGACTGACGAACCATCAAAAGAGGAGTTGGATGCAAATAATCTGAAGACACAAGTACTGGAGGAATGTTCTGCCAATAAAGAAGGGACATGTAGTGCCGGTAGCGAAGAGAAATGCGGCTGCCGTACAGCGGGTCAGGATGATCCCCAAAGCAAGACTAAAGTAGATGTGAGCCGACCAACAACAGTTGTGAATGGAAATGATATTTACATGCTTGTTGGAAACTACAGCCGGACAGCTGCCACTGGTCATGAAGAGGGCGGGACAGATCACTGGGGACTTTTGCTGGTGAAGGGTCAGGTCAGTGGTGCGGGAGAAGAGGAAAAAAGAATTTGTTGGAACGATACTCACGCTATTCCGTTGACTCTGGGCGACCAACACGAATCCTTGACAGGGCTGATTGGCGGCGGTGGACCGGGTGTCAAGATGAACGACGGTACGCTTGTGTTCCCAGTGGAAGGCACGAAAAAGAAGGAGAAGAAGGAGGGTGACGCAAAAAAGGATGGAAAGACCGTTTCGCTGGTCATATACTCGCAGGGTACTGAGAATTGGAAGCTGTCGAAGGGGATGTCTGCCGATGGCTGCAGTGATCCCTCCGTCGTGGACTGGGAGGACAAACTCATGATGATGACTGCGTGTGATGATGGCCGCCGCAGGGTGTACGAGTCCGGTGACATGGGGGATTCGTGGACGGAGGCACTCGGGACACTCTCGCGCGTGTGGGGCAACAAAAAGGGTAAAGAGAAGGGCGCTAGAAGCGGTTTCATCACATCGACAATTGACGGTGTTGAAGATAAGAGAAATGTGATGCTCGTTACTCTGTCGGTGTATTCTAAGAAGACTGAGGGGGTAAGCGCAAATGAAAAAGGTGAACTCCATCTTTGGCTGACGGACAATACGCACATTGTTGATATTGGGCCGGTATCCGGTGATGATGACGCTGCCGCCAGCTCCCTGCTGTACAGAAGTGTTGAAAATGGAGATCAAGGAAATAAGGAGGAGTTGATTGCACTGTACGAGAAGAAGAAGGGCGAATCGTCATCCGGTATGGTCTCTGTGCTTCTGACTGAGCAGCTGAAGCGGGTGAAGGAGGTGCTGACGACCTGGAAGGAAGTGGACGAACGTGTCTCCCAGCTGTGCCCCACTGAGAAGGATACCTCAACTGTCATTGCCTGCAGCACTGCCATTCCAACGGATGGGCTGGTTGGCTTTTTGTCAGGCAACTTCTCTGATGACACATGGAAGGACGAGTACCTCGGGGTGAACGCCACGGTAGCAAAGAAAGAAGGTGAAGCAGAGGCAAAATTGCATGCCGGGGGCGTGAAGTTCACGGGGCGTGGGCGGAGTGGCCTGTTGGCAAGCAAGGGGATAATCAGCTGTACCACTTTGCCAACTACAACTTCACTCTTGTGGCGACGGTGTCCATCGACGGTGTGCCGAAGGAGGGTTCTCCCATTCCATTGATGGGTGCGAAGATGAACGGTGAAAAAAAGAATTCTTTTGGTTTGTCGTACGAGAAAGAAAAGAAGTGGATATTAATGTGCGATGACGCAACGACTAATTCTGGAGAGCAAAGCCGCGTTTCCGAGCCAGAGAAAGCTCAGCACGTGGTAATTTTGCTACGGAACGGCAACCACGGCTCTGCGTACGTCGATGGTCAGCGTGTCGGTGGGGATGAGCAGTGTGCATTGGAAAATACGGATTCGAAAGTGATCTCACACTTCTACATTGGGGGGATGGAAGCGATGCAGGCAACACAAAAACCCAAGAAGGCTTTTCCGTGACCGTGACGAACGTCCTGCTGTACAACCGCCCGTTGGATGGCACTGAGATTGCTGGGCTTGCCAAAAATACAATTACTATTCCGAAGCCGGAAGGTCCGACGACATTGGTGGTGGATGCTCGTTCACCAGCGGTAAGTGCACCGGATATGGAGGAAACTGTGCACCGACCTAATTCTGCCGGGCAACTGCCGTCGGAACACGAACCGTTGACGAATATTGGTGGTGGAGGTGGCGGTGTACCCAGTGCAGCTTCCACTGCCACGACTCCCTCGTCTGATTTTGCTCAAACGGTGGCGACAGTGGGTGGAGATACGATGCTGGGAAATGGATCACCCCGAACTACTGAGGAGAGCGCGAGCTCTGGTGCGAATGGGGAGACGGCGGAAGGAACGGATGAGCAGGGAGAGGAGGCAATCCATCCACAGGACGGGGAAGTAAATGCCACGGCACTCAACAGCAGCCTTGTAAATTTGTCGCAGGGGAATAACAGCGATGCCGGCACTGTGCGTGGGAGCGGACTGCTGCCATCGCTTCTCCTTCTGTTGGGACTGTGGGGGCTTGAGGCTCTGTGAGGAGTGACTGACTGCCGCGTGGAATACCTGCGCCCTTCCCAGCAGAGAATTACTTCCTCTGGAAAGAATATTTTTGATACTTTTACTTTTTTTGCGTATTTTAAATTTATTTTACTGTTTGCTACTTTCTTGTTTTAAAATTCTTTTTTTCTTTTCTTTTTTAAAAATCTCTCATCCCTCTTTTTGCTTTCGGGGCAATCAATATGGACGTTCTTTTTTCTTTCTACTCTTCCCTCCTTTAATTGTTTGTTGCTGCACTCTTCCTGTGAGGGGTGCCGTGTGTTTCCGCCCAACTGCTCCACTCGCACACCCACCGACACGCTCATGACGACGGCCCTGTGCGCCTCGCCTGCTGCACGCATGAGGAGGGGCCGCGACGAACGGCGCGCTGAGGGAGCCGTGACGTGTGGGCGTGCGACGAGGGCCTGTGGGGCGGAGCACACATTTCTTTCCCTCTTGTTTTGTTTTGTTTGCGGTCAGGGCTGGCAGACACCCGCAGCACCACACACACAGCCACACTCTGCCGCCGTGTTCTTCTTTTCTTTTGTTTTTTTATTTTTTGTTTTTGTGGATGGGTGTGTGCTGCCACCGTGCGTGATTGTTGAGGTTGAGGCCGCACCGCATGTATTCCTGCGATCCAGCTGTGCCTCTTGCTGTATTGATTTGCCTTCCTGTGCTCCTCTTTCTGCTGTTCCAGCACACAGAAAATAGGTATTTGCACACCGCTCTGCATGAATGCTCTTGGCGACGGCGGGACGTTGGCTTGCGTCCCGTGCTGAAATGGCAACGCCGCTGCACGATGCCCCGCCATGAGTGAGGGTGTTGCCTGCTCTTGGGGTCATTCTTCTCTCCTCTTGTTTTTGCACTGCCGGGTGCATGCGTTGCTCGGTGTGTGATGACGCATGACGGACGGTGCCACGATGGCCTACTCTGAAGATGACAGTCGCTGTGTTCTCGGCACACATCCACACACTCTTCCCTGTCTCTCTGTGGGAGTGATTGCGGCAGGGCATTGCTGCGAGCGTGATGGGGACCACGACGGCGTCACCCCTCGAGAAGGTCCCGCGCTCCGTTGGTTGTGGAGCGGCGAGGCGGTTTGCCTGCAGCACGACTGACAGAACAGCACAGTCGTTTCATTGCGGTCAGTTCGTCGGCATCACCCGCTGCGGTGGTGTCTGCAAGAGCCGCAGCCCCGATGAGGATGGCGTCGTAGTTGTCTGGCAGCTCAGCACTTCAGGCCCTTCGCCCCTCAGGATTGCCCCTGCAGCTCGACTGGCGCAGCACCATTCATCGCTCAGGCCCCGCAGCGGTTATTTGCGACCTGAATTCACACCATGAGCTGCGGGACGGTTGCTCGCCATCCACGACGGCGGGAGAGGACCTCGCCGCCACCCCAATCGACATGGAGATTGGGCTTTCCGACGACCCGGCACAGGCAACGCAGATCAGCGGCCGCAGCGTCTCGTTTCCCGACGTGACTGCGCAACGCGCACTGCGTGTCTCCCACTGGACGTCCACCTGTTCGCATGGACTCGGACCACCATCTGCCATCCCACACTGCGGGGACGGAGGACGGCATCCCGCGACAGGCAGGCATGCTGCCACGATGGAAAAAATGTCACCGTTGTCCTGCGTGAAGCTGACTGTGATGCTTCCACCTCGGCGTGTGGAACACCTCTGGCCGCTGTAATCACATGGTTGGAGATGCACCGCGGCACCGCACGAGCGGCAGCCGTGACAGTTCCACATGAATCTGTACGGACTGAATGGAGCAGGCCGAGTGTGTTGCAGCGGCAGCCTGCCCCGTGCTGAAGTGCTCCGCAAGCGGGAGGACCGCAATCATGCCCTCCGCGGTGGCTTCTCCATGCTGCCAGAGGTCCGTGCGAAACAGCTTGGTGCCCTCCCGATCCCAAGGCCTGTGATACCCGAGGCATGGCGGCGCCACGTTCCTGCCCTCTGGGATCGGCTGTGCTGCAGTGCTGTTGGGACCGCGTCTGTGCTCTGCCTCCGCCGGAACCTATTCCCGACGTGAGCACCGCCACTCCTTGCCGACCAGCAAGCGGCTGATTGACGTCCTCCTGCCCACTCCTCGGCATACTGGCACGCGCCCTGCAGATCACAAGCAACCCATTATGTCGGTGGTACTGCCCCTCCTCTCACTGAAGAGGCAGGACCGCCCCGACCTCCTCCGGAACCTCCACCTGGCGTGTCCACAGCACCTCCTCGTAGAACGACGAGCAGCAGATCAACGTCGCCCTGCCCAAGCTGCAGCAGCGTCTTCTCGTCTGCCTACAATATGAAGGCACACGCCCGACGCAATAACCCCGGCACTCCAATCGTTGCAGAAGGCCTCACATGTGGATTCTGCGACAGCTCCACGGTCTCCCAACAAGTGCCTCACGCGCAGGTCACCACCAAAAATGTCAGGCGTATCAACGAGCAAAAGACGGAAAACGCACCTCTGCAAGCTCCAATGACAGCCGTAGCCCTTCGGCCACTCCTCTGCTGCAATCCCCACCAGCCGCTGAGCCGCGACAATCCACGGGAAGCCCTGCCGCACACGCTGTGGGAATGCCCCCGTCCTCGACAACTGAGCATCCGACTATTTGGGAACATCACCCTTTCGCACGACAGCACCGTTCAAGAAGGAAAAACTGGCCACATCGCTACGGACAGCCCGCAGGCCATTAACGAACAGTGGCTGCAAAGTATAACGAAACAAATACTTCCCTTTCCTCAGCATAGAAAAACGTCACCTTCACACTCGCAATTGCCACCAATGAATTCATTGCACAATACCGCTCTGAGCTGCAATACTTCCTGGTGCCATCCAGGTCCCTTGTCGACACATCGATGCGGGTGGGCGCCCATCCATTCCTCCCAATGACGGTGCATGTCTGCGACGCACCCTCATATCCAAAAGGCACGTCCCTCACCACAGCCGGGATCGACTTCGCCCTGTCCGCACGCATCGCCCTGTCAGAGGAGCAGGAGTACGTCAGGCTGGCAGCAAAGCACCCGCCAGCACAACAAATCACAAACATCATCACAACCAGAAGCACCAGCAGCACTGCAGACCGTGGGGTGACGTGGATCAACTGAAACATGCTGTAGCAGAAAACATTTACTGGCTTGACAAGAGTAAGAAACACCGACAATATCTCAAAAGAAAAAAGAAAAAATACAAAAAGAGAATTTAGGCGTAAGCACTCAAAGCAAACTGCCAGTCAAAAAAAAAAAAGTAATGGGTGCACTCAACCACAAGACAATTAAAACAATAAAAAGCCGAAGCGTGGGACGACCAGCGCACACACTCTCATTGCTCCCGTAAAGCAAAACATACACACAGGGAGAGAGAGAGGTCGCCCACTCAATGCAATAAAAACAAAACAGAAACAGTTACGGTGCTCCGCCCATGCAGCCAGGCAGGACGGCAGCGGTGCGTGTGGTGCAAAAGAGAGCACCAACGGGCCTGCATGGGTGTGCATGCATATATACAATGGGCACATTATTGTGTGCCTCGTGGGGTGAGGTGAGGGCGAGAGTCCATGCAAGGGGACACACACACAGAGAGAGAAGGACGAGTGTGTGTGCGGGCGGTGCACGGCTCTCTCTCCCTCACTCTCACGCGGCCACCACCGCAGCAGCAGCCACACACGCAACAACAAGAAGAAGCAAAAGAGAGGAGGTGGTGTGGGAGGCCGCGGTGCTGCCGTCACTGTTTTGTGTGTTCGTCGTATCAGTTGTGTTGGCGGTTACTGTTGATTGAGGTGATGCCGCACTCATTTTGACGGTGTTGCTCTTATTTTCTTCGGACGGCTTCGTGGAAATGGTTTGAGTGGTAACGGTCGGTGCGGCTGTGGAAGTTTCCTGGGGTTGTTCCAAAGAAGGAGTGACATTTTCACGCTCCTGCCCCTCTTCTGACGGTGCGGCAACAAGAGTTTCAGTACTCCCCGAATTATCTTCAGTGCGCTCCTCACTATTACGGCTGACAAAATCGTTGTTACTTGAATGAGATGGCGGACCATTACTCTGTTGATTTACAATTGTTTTATTCTTCCCCTCCTCTTGACTGGGTGAAATCCCCGGTTTCCCTGGTGGACCTTCGTCTGGTAAATCTTGCATCTGTTCTCCCGATGGTTTCGAATGTGTCGATGGAGCCGTATGTTCGGCGCCGGATGGTGTCAGCTGTATTGTTGGCGATTGAAGCTGTAAATCAACTTGCGATCGCGAGCCCCCGGAAGGTGAATCCCCAACTTTTTCCAGCTGTGGTTGTTGTGCAGAAAAGCCTTCTGCTTCACCAGGTGCAGTCTGACCGGCGGCATTGCCGGTAGTTCCAGCACCACTCGCAGGATTAGCACCAGGCGGAGTTCCTCCTGTCCCACCCTCGTCACATCTACCGCCGGCACCGCACCACACCACGCAGAGGGCACACACCAGCAGCACACGGCCAGCCATCATCATCGCCATCACTCCTGTCACTTGCGTGCAGCCTTCAGCACAAACTAACAACACGTCAACGCAGAGTGAAAGGGAAAAGGAGAGACAAGTCACACAGCCACGCACCGTCCCATCCAGCAATGAGAGTCACGCACAACAACAACAATAGGGTAAGCGTGGTTCAACAACAAAACAAAGAGAAGCGCTCCTCGCCCTTGTCCCGTTCCTCACACCCCCACAGTTGCTATTACTGTTATTCCCTCTCCTCCGTCCCTCACAGGCACGCCACGCTCACTTGAACACGCGCCCCTCCAGCAAAGGCAGTCCGTGATGCGCTCCCGCTGCGCCACAACATCCGCCACCTCCTCCCACTCGAACAGCTCCGTGTCCTCCACGTCCTCCACAATCGCCGGCATGCCCCGGCTGCGCAACACACACAGTGCCACAATCTCGTGCCGCCTCTCCTCCCCAATCATGAGCGCAAAGCCCAACGCGTACTGTCACACGTGCTCCATGCGCCGCAACCACCCGCCGATCAGGTTGGCCGTCATGCACTGCATCTCAGTGTCGTCCTTGTGCTTGGAGCAGACCCTCACACCTCTCGATCCACGGCCTGGGTGCTGCGAAAGGCTGCCGAGAGGTGCCACTTTTGTGGAAGAAGCAAATGTGCGGAAACAACGGCCACCCTCACTCCCTCAGACATCTCCGCTCGCTCACACAAAAGGGCGGTGCCATGGGAAAGGGAAGTCCGCCGCACAGTGCTTGCATAAAAGCATGCTCAGCAGTAACGCCATCCACGTCGCACTGCAACAAAGAGCCTTGCGCACAACACACAAAAGGCAGCAAAGAGAGCGACGTGGCACATCAAAAGTCACGGCGCTGTTCTTTACTTCTCACCGCCGCGACGGATTGGCATTGCGTTCCACACTCACAGTGAGACATGGCGCACACCATCCGCTCCTTTCCGTGTGCACTCAGCAGGCCGGTGCCCAGTCACCCTCGTGCCATCGCAACGGGGAGCAAAAACAATAGTCGTCGCGGACCATCGGTGTCACTAGCAGGAAAGAAAGGAAAATGGAGGCATGTCAACAGCACGGCCAGCGGAGGAACACTCAACGGGACACGGAGACACACAGTAACAGTGGACACGGTACAAACAAAAAACAAGCCAGAAGTGAGTTACCAAATAAAAGGAAAAAGTGAGAGTCCGGCATGACCCTCAAAAGAAACAATTAGGGAGATTTAATTCGGCAGAAATTTTATTTCATGCGTCATGCAACCCAATAGAAACGACCTTGTGTTTCTGTATATACATATTGCCTGCACAACAAAAAAAAAGAAAAGAAATGATCTTGCTGTTCCACCAGCCCACACAACATCCCTCACACTTCATTGCGGCATCCGGCCTGTTCCTCCAATCCTCCTTTCGTGCAGTCCGTGGGACGCACAGCAATGAGGCCGAAACCGCGTGTGGGCAACAAAACATGACGTGAAGAAAAAAAGACAGTACTTAATAATCCAGCTAAACTACATTGAAAAAACATCAAAATAAAAACAAAAACGGTAAAATAAAAGGAAAAAAAAAGTGTTATAAAAAAGAAAGGGCAATGTGGCACGTATTCTCCGTGAGGAGTCGCAAATCCACACTCCGTGGCTCAGAAGACTGCCACCCCCAAAACACAATTCAATAAGAAGCAACGCCCAATACACGCACACACGCACAGTGCCGTCAAAAGTAACTCTCGCAGTCTCAATTTCGCGTCGTTGCGCAGGGCAAAGCAGTCGTCGGGACTCACACCGCTCCCGGAATACTGCGCGGTGAATTCTCGTAATTGGGGTTTGTTATCGCGTCCAGAGGCATTGCGTTGACTCAATCCGTACGCATCACCCTCAGCAACAAATCCACTGCCTGCAACGCCAATTTCTAAAACGAGAGATTTGTGTCCAGTGGCGTCGGGCTCACTCAACTCGTCCGTGTTATCCGCGGCAACGTGTTCCCTGCCGCCATAAGTGACAGACATGATCCCGGAGGCATTCGACGCCAATACTATTCTCGGACCGTTGGCAAAGGAAGGCCTCTTCGTGGATGCATTCGGGACCATCACTTCGTTCGGATTGGTGGCAAACTCAGGCCTCCTCTCGGAAGTGTTGGGCGCCGTGTTGGATGCGGGACTCCGATCGACGGTGTTGGGTCCGTCAGCCGCCGCAGACTGTCGCCAATCCTCGTGCTGACGTGACGGCTCAGCATTAACTTGCGGCGCAGTTGTCCCACCAGATTTCGTGTCATCTTTCCCTTCACGGGGTGGCGGCAACTGACAGATGCCGTCCGGTCAGCATCGCTGCTCCGTGCAGGCGGATGGATGGCTCCATCGGAGGAAATTGACGCCACCACAATTCATAAGGGCCGGCGTATTTATGTGTCTTCACATCCATCGTGAAGGCAACGGTGGCCGTTCCTCTTCCCTTGCACAGCTGGCAGCACAGTTGCTACATGTGTGCACCGCATTGGCCACATGGCACACAGCACCCAGCTCACCATTCCTGCCATGCATGCGCACACCAAAGCCACTGAAAGTATAATTCTCATGCTGAGCCTCAGCACTGGCAGCAGAGCACTTCGTCCACGCCCACACACGCACATGCACACAATGGCTCAGGCTGCCGTCACTCGGAGCACACGACACATCCACCGGCACACCCACCGCATCCGCATCACCAGATACATCTCCAGCACTCCCAGCAGCCGTCACGCACACGGACGAGCAGCAGCAGCACAAGAGCGCAAGGACCAACAGGACGCCGCACCGTCATCATCGCAGTCATCGTCACCCGTAGTGAAGTCGCTGGAGCCAGTCAGCTGATCGGTGAGACAGAAGGAAAAGAATGCAACAAGAGGGAGAGGGACGGGGCACAGCGAATACAGCGAGAGAGAGCAGACAAAACGAGGAGAAGGCAGCAGACCCAGCCGCACGGTTCACACACCACGAGACGGCATCCACGCAGGAAAGGCACACAACGCCAGCAGCCACCAACCATGCAGGAGGAGAGGACATCCACCACCATCTCCCAGCTCATTCCCACAGCCAACGGGAAATGGCAAAAACACCGCGGCCACAACACAACGCACACGGAACGAGCACCCACCACACCAGCCACAACCGCTAGTGGACCCTCATCCATCCATGACACGGCAACAAAATTTCCAGCCATCCCGCCCTCAACGAGAAACGGCGCCCAACTCAACGCAGTCACACGCGGTGCTCCACACCCGCAGGAAAGGAGACACGGGCTGCGGACTCCCTCTCTCTTCTCCTCATGGCCACGGAGGACGACAACAACCGCCACACGCAACTGCCAGCACGCACTGCAAAAGAAGCATTCATATCCACTGCAATGTGCATCTTGTGTGTGTGCCTGCAGAAACACAAAGCAAAGAAGTAAAGAAATGGAAGCAGAGTATGTGGAGAGACGCACGAAATGCACAGCGGAGGTGCGTGGCGGAAAGAACAAGAAGACCGCTCAAACTCACGATTGCACTGCAGCCCAAGCAGCGGCAATTCACACAACATTCATTTAAAACAAAAAAAAAAAGCTTTCCCCTTCATCTTACACAAACCCCACCACACAAAATAATTATAAATAAAAAAGAAATCGTCCATTACTTTTCCACACAAATTTAAAAAAGCAGCCGGCTGCCGTGTGGCCACACCAAACTGTCTGCATATATTTTGCCCGCAAATAAAATTAAAAGATATTTAAATGTCTTTCAACCGTCCGACCCTCCGTGTGTCCGCACATCGTTTATATTTCACGGGGTCATCTGCGTGTTGCTGCTCCCCTCAGCCCTCCCATCGGGGCGTGAGTGCGGCCCGCAGAGCACAGTCACTCGTGTGTGTGGGGACTGAGAGAAGCACGCAGAAATGACGGCGGTCGCGTCACTCCATCGGGAGAGTGAGCGCAGCAAAAATAAAAAATCTCAAAAACACGGCGGCAGGGTGTGGCTGTGTGTGTGGCGCTGCGGGTGTCTGCCCGCCCTGACCGCAAAGCAAGCAAAACAAGAGGGGAAGAAATGTGTGCTCCGCCCCACAGGCCCTCGTCGCACGCCCACACGTCACGGCTCCCTCAGCGCGCCGTTCGTCGCGGCCCCTCCTCATGCGTGCAGCAGGCGAGGCGCACAGGGCCGTCGTCATGAGCGTGTCGGTGGGTGTGCGAGTGGAGCAGTTGGGCGGGAAACACACGGCACCCCTCACAGGAAGAGTGCAGAAGAAACAATTAAAAGAGGGAAGAGTAGAAAAGAAAAAAAAAACGCCCACATTGATTGCCCCAAAAAACGAAAAAAAGAGAAGAGATGGGGAGTAAAAGATTTAAAACGCACAAATTAATAACAAAAAAAAAAACATCAAAAATTTTTAAAGCAAACCGAAAAAAAATTAAATTTACAATAAAGGAAAAAAGCCGAAGTGTGGGACGACCAGCGCACACACTCTCATTGCTCCCGTAAAGCAAAACACACACACACAGGGAGAGAGAGAGAGAGGTCGCCCACTCAATGCAATGGAAACAAAACAAAACAGTTACGGTGCTCCGCCCATGCAGCCAGGCAGGACGGCAGCGGCGCGTGTCGTGCAAAAGAGAGCACCAACGGGCCTGCATGGGTGTGCATGCATATATACAATGGGCACATTATTGTGTGTGCCTCGTGGGGTGAGGTGAGGGCGAGAGTCCATGCAAGGGGACACACACACAGAGAGAGAGAAGGACGAGTGTGTGTGCGGGCGGTGCATGGCTCTCTCCCTCACTCTCACGCGGCCACCACCGCAGCAGCAGTGCCAGGAGGCAATCACTGCTACCGCAGGATCAGCCAGCCTCCACAAGCGCAACAATTAGCCCGCAGAAAACACCGCACCATCTGCTTCCGGAATGTACAGACGCTCTGGATGTGCGCCAACGGCTGGTCATCAAGAAGGACCTTCGCACCGAAAGCTTCTCCCAATGGCAGTTGCCTCATAGCAGGAAACTCATGTCGCTGCTCGACCACCTCCTCGGCACCCTGATGACATCGTGTGGCTAGACATGTCGGTAAGAGCAGGGAAAAATAATAATAATAAGCATTCCCGCCACTGCAGAGACGTGGTGCATCTTGCGATCCCGCTGGCGGCTCTCCTCTTCCACCGCTGTTTTCGCGCAAGAGGCCACCACAGTCATTTTTGTGATTTGGTCGGCTTCGTGTTGTGCTCCGGGTTCTCCTCCTTCATCGCCCTGCGGTGCTTTCTTCGTCGTCCCTGGCACCTGTGACTGTCCCGTGACGGTTTTTTCCGAAGCCTGACTGCCCTGGGAGGTCCTCCCACCACCAGTATGCACTCCACCCGCTGCCTGCTGAGATGCGTCGGAGCGCGGGGATGTTGTGCCACCAGCGTGCCCTCCCCCCAAAGACTCCGGTCCACTTGCACGCATCCGAACAGCAGACACGCTGCCGGTGCCGGATGGATTGCAAGTGCCACTTCGCAGTGGGTCGCTGCTGGATTGGTCCTGCCTCGTCGGAGCAGTGAGTGCTCCTCCCGGGGTGGGATTGGGGTCCTCACCCACGGTGTTTCCTCCACCCTCCTCGTCTTCCTCATTGCTATTGCCCTCAGAGTTCACATTCCCCCTTTCGTCCAGAGCCACCGGCCACGGGTCCACCTTCCGCAGCCATCACACCCCGCGCATGCCCAGCAGTCACCGCGCCATCACCCGCGGGCAGCACACGCACCCCGTCGCAGCAGCCCTCACTCACACGCACGAGCAGCTGCGCATCACTGCAGGGGCCAACAGGACGCAGAGCACACGGCCAGTCATCATCACAAACAGTGGAGTCGCCTAACGCTGCGGAGCCAACCTGCGATAGCACGAGAAAAACAAAGGGAGACACAGCCGCTACACCACGCACAGCAACAAATGGCAGCACCCCAGCAGCAGCGCACACACCACTAGCCAGACGGAATCAGTACGATTGCAGAGCTCGCACACCGCCCTGCAAACCAGAAGTTTAAAAAGCAATAAAAAACAATAATTAAAAGACAGAAATTAAAAAGAGAAGAAAAACAAACCCAGGGCTCCAGTGCGCATGCACATGAGTGTGTCCGCGATGCGTTCAACGTGACGGATGCGGGGCACAACGCGGAGCACACAGCAGGGCAGCGGAAGCAAGTGAAGCAAAACACAATCATTATTTTCTCTTATTTAGTACATCGGACAACAACACACGCACACAAATCCACGCGGTTGAGTGCTGGCACGCACAGCCCGCACACACCTCTTCAGCCCAGAGTGGTGTACGCCAGCGCGGATACAGCGAGGAGCAGCGGAGCACACACCCACGCAGAGCTGCTGAGGCTGCCGTCGATTTCGCGAAGGCGTGACGGTGCGCGGGTGGTCGTGGTGGTTGGTGCCTCTGTAGTCGTAGTACTTGTTGCCTCTGGCGCAGTGGTGGTGGTCGTGGTTGGTGCTTTTGTTGTAGTGGTCGTGGTGGTCGTCTTGGAAGGATCCTCAAGCGTCATGGTATTTTTAGAATTATCTTTATCCCCCGGATCCGTCTCAGTTTTCTTGCTAGGCTCAGTGGCTGGTGCAGGGGGCAATGAACTGGCGGTGTTTCCCTGTGCCGCACCGGACTCCTGGCTCCGTGAACCTGACTCACCGCTGCTCCGAAGTGTTCCCTCTGCTCCACCGGACGGCAGACTGGTTTCCTTTCCCCTCGTACCAACGTCAGTTTTCGGATCCAGACTAGAGCCTTCTTCTGAAGAGAGCAATGGACTTGCTTCGGCGGAATCCTGAGACTTAGGCTTAGTCCCAGGTGTAATGGACGGCAGGCTGGCGCCTTTTCCCTTGGTTTGAGGTGCAGTCGGGGTAATGTCTGCGTCGCACACGGACGGGCAGCAGCACAGGGCAAGCACCAACAGGGCGCACAGCAGACAGCACGTCGTCATCATCGTGAGTGTGGTCGTTCAGTGGTGTGGAGCTGATCTGCACAGTGAGGGACATGGAGAGCAACAGGGGAGACGAGAGGTGCGGCAGACACACACAGAGGGCACACCACATGAGGAGAGGACAGCAGCCAGGCATGCACCGTACGCCGCACACCACGCACGACACACACTCCAATCCACGGCAACAGGCACACACACAGCCCTGCCGCAACACCAACACACAGATGGAGGAGGGAGAAGCAAACAGGAGCGGCACACAAGGCTCCACCGCATGCACATACGGCGAGAGCGGTCCGTCGTGTCGGCACCCCTCACGGAGGGTACGCACACACACAAGAGGATAGGTGCAGCGCACACAGCAACACAAAAGCAAAGTAACAATTAAAAAAGGAGATCCCCGCACACCACGTGGATTGTTGGTCCACGGGAAGTGCACCCAACATTCATCACAAAAATGATTCAGTTGCCTTCGACCCTCGTTCATATTCAGCGCACACCACTTCATGCAGGCCTGGACACCACCGCAGCAGCGGCACGCATACGTGACAATAAGATGCAAAGGATGGGAGGTGGTGTGGGAGATCGCGGTGCTGCTGTATCTGTCGGCGGAGGTCGCTGTTCCTTTGTCATTGTTGGTGAATGATGTTGTCGTGAATTCCTACGGTTACTTGACCAGGAGTGATGTGGGAAGACAATTGGTGTTCTGACACTCCGTTGATGCCTTCCCTGTCCCGTCAATTTCTGTGCTCGCCGGTGGTGTGGTGTGGGTCGCTGGGGTCAGCGAGACGCTGACAGGGCTGCCAGCACCATCGGACTGAACTTGGTCTGCCATGTTCTCTTCCCCAGTCTTACTGCACCAGCTGCTGGGGGCGGTGCAGCAGTCATGCAAGAAGCACCAGCAATGGGCTGCGGTGTCGGCCGCATCAATCAATGGGTGTGTCCGCAATCGACAGGAAATTGCATCGACAGGGACGTCTGCACCAACGCTCGGGGATGGGGAACAATGACGCCAAACGGACCAGCGCATGCCACCCCGGAAAATCCGCAAGGCGTATTGGCGCGGGCTGCGTTACTGCCGCGGCGACGGAAATGAATGGCAGTGCTGGTGGCGTCCTCGTCGTACGTCCCCTCCGGCCACTCCTTGCAGTAAATCCATTGCCTGAGTACATTTGATTCCGTCTGAGAAGCCAATTAAAAATGTTCTTTCCTCTAAATGTATTGTACTCGTAACTGGCCACAGTCGCCCGCAATGCCTCCAGCGGATACACCTGCGATGCACGGTCAACACAATCCACATCCACTCGTCGTGCACCATCCAACACCATCTTTTCCTTGGAGCTATGAACAACACCGGGCACACACTCCTTTTCGGCCGTCCACGGCATGCGCCTGCAGTGAGGATCCGGAGAACGTCCCATTCCTTTTGTGCACAAAGTCATGGAGCTGCCGCCGTTAAGCGCGTCCCGGCGAGGGCAACAACAGCCCGCCGCAGCACTCACGAATGCCCACCCGTTGCCTCCTGTGCCGAAAAAAAAATAAACAATGGAGGGAAAAGCGTGCACAAATGCCCTGACAAGAAAGGTCAGCACCAGTGGATGAACACTGAAGCCGTGGGTGCATGCTGCTCAAATGTCCCTCCTTTTTCAGCCGCCTTCTTAGTTGCAGAGAAATGGCTCACAACCGCACAGGTAAAAAAAGCAAAAGGCGAGCAGCACAGCCGTTGAAACACACACACGCGCATCGTACGAATCGCTTCATGGAGAGAAACTGAATGCAGACACAAGCGCACACAATCCCCACAGACACCCGCAATCATGTGTGGTTGCATCTGTTCCACTCTTTGGCCCTCGATGCATTCCTTTGCGTGTCTTGTCCCTGAGTCCCAGTGCCGTAGGATGCCAATTCCCTGCACAAACACACCTCAGGACGCGGCAGCGAGGCTCTCCAATGACCACCTCACGGCCATGTCTTTTGGATATCTCATGGACCGAGCGCCTCTCGCTGCAGGCCACACCACACAAAACAAGCAACAGAATGCGCTGAGGAGTTGTGAGGACAATCGTCCCACCACCACCACCCAGATCAGGATGATTCTCCTCTTTGCCACCACACCCCTGAAATGGCCTGGCGTTATTTCCTGCTGCTCCACTGTTATGGCCACCACTCGCGCCATTTGGCTCTATCACATGATCGCGCTGCACCGATGCCAACGACAGCCCAACCCGCAGCGTCCTATTCCTGTCCGTCTCCATCATCATACAGGCATGCTTCAGAAACGGATCCTCGTTCGTCGCGGCGTTGCTCGCGGAGGCACTCGTGCTCCGTCCGCCCTGCGCCGACGCCGTGCTGTATCGTTGCACGCTCCCGGCCCTCCTCGTCACATGCTCAAGGATCGCAAACAAATGGGCGTCGGGCGTCAGTCCACCGTCTCGGATCAGCTGCTGCCTATTGGCCTCCGTCAACTCGTCGGTGCTGCTCGCAGTCACAAGCAACAGGAGAAGACGCAGTCGCACTGGCCGGGGCATCGCGGTATCCCTCGTCAGGTGCCGCACGCCATCCAGGTTTTTCCTGAGGAGTTTGTGCCCAACGGCGATGTCTTGTTCCACCTCCCGCACCTCCGCCAGTCGCTTCTCCCGGTACTGTGCCACAAGCCTCGCGCAAATATCGATGTGCAGCAACAGTCTGGCTTGCCTCTCCCGAAACTCCGGCAAAGCCCGCACCGCACTGCTCAGCTCCGCAAGATTGGCCTTCGGCTCCACGTCCTGCACCAATCCCGGGTGATACACGCGGAGTTTTTTCAGCGCAACCGAAAGCTCCCCCACGCACTGCGCAAGAAAACAATGACGGTACGAGCACCAGTACACATCTTCCTCACCAAGTACTGCCGCTTCGAGTCCTCACCCAGACGATTCCTACAGGTCTGCTCATACAAGTTATTCCCCAGCGGCATCAGGTCATCAAGCAGACACTGACATGTGCGTTGGTGCATCAGCGGCATCACCATGGCACAGCCCCAATCAACGATGATCTGCACCGGTTTGCCGCGGCTGTCGGCGCCCCTAAGTGAAATCCGGCTCGTCGTGGTATTGCCTGGCAAGCCCCTCAAAAAAGGTCCTGGCAAACCCATGGCAGATGCTGCCTCTGTTTTGTTGGCGAATGACAGGCACACCGTTGTTCATGGCGTGAATAGCCGCCACAGGACGTGACGCCGCAACATCCAAAACGGACCATCAATTCGGAGGCGACAGCAGCTGAAAGAACCCATTCTGCATGCTGAGGTGGAACACCAGCACCTCAGGGGCGGCGAAGTCTAACATAATGTCCTTGAAGCGCATCGCCATCGGCGCTATCCGAACCCGCGGGAGTTGCTGAAGGCGACGATGCGGGGTGCACCCCAGCGCAAAGATGTGTACATCCCTGTGCAGGACCTTTGCCATCCAATCCTCAACCACGCGGCTCACAGACGCATCCTCCACGGCAAAAAAGTAGGGTGCAGGGCTACTCATAATCGGCTGCCGCGGCGTCATGGGGTCCCCGAGCAGCGTCACGCCGTGTTCCATGAGATTATGAAGACGCAGTGAGCAGCTCAGCGCAGACGCAGCATGGGCATCGCAGAAAAAAACTTTAGACGATCCATGAACGGCGTCAAGCATCTGATGGAATATATAATCCCGCACACAACCACAAACGCCATTGCTGGGCTCACGCGGCTGCCCTTCTTCCGACGGCCTTGACCGCACCAACCCGCCCGCATACTATGTCAAGCACAAGTCACAAAGACAATGTGATTGGATATGCGTGTGTGCGTATTGTGTGCGCACATTTCACTCGCACCGGTGTGTGTATGTGTATGTGCACAAACAAGACACACGCACGCATATCCACACGACCATATGGTGGCCCACATCGGCAACCAACACGGGAGGAGTTATGCGCATCGGAAATACAACCAATCTCAAACACAAAGTCAAACGGAGCGGACACAGCACATGCATATGGAGAACGGCACCCAATGAAATGAATTTTTTCCTATTGGGCATCCAATGCTGGGTGCGGGCCACGCATGAGGAAGCGCATTCGCCTCGCAGCGCAACGCCGTCCACACCGCAACTCGATGGAGTGTTAGCACGGCGGCAGCAGAGACAAGCAGCAGCAGCAGTGTCATCACCGAGAGTCGGAGGCGTGTCCTGCCTGCCTTCCGTCTCGCTGCTTCGATCCTTGCCCCCGAGAGAAGATTCTCGCGGTCTGTCGGGGCATCCTGTCCGGATCCACTTCTCCTCCGGCGACGGATTCTTCTGAGGAGCAGCTAAGTCGACATCCTTCGGTGGTGTGCCACGGTCGGTCTCAAAGCTCTCTGCATCGGGGACGGATGCCCGTAGCAAAGCTTTTTCAGTAGATGCCGGTGAGACCGTCCTGCTCCACACGCTCTCTCCTCGCCGTCCCACGGAACCACTGGAAGCAGCCTGCCGCTGGTGAAAGATATCGTGCACACCTGCGTGTGGTCACGGCAAATAGCTTTTCCCTCATCGTAGGGTCGAGTGGCCCACGCAATCGTCGCTCCGTCCGTGCATGGGACCAACGAACGTTACCCTTTTCAGTCACTTCCAGATGCAATTACATGCCGAGGCACCGCAATGCCGCATGCATGGAAGTACTGAGATGTGTCTCCTCCGGATCCCTCGCATCTGTCGTGTTGTTGGGAGGCGTGTCCAGACACCACGAAGAGGGCTCTTCCCCAGGCATCGCAGACAAATATTCTTCCCTCCAAATAACAGCGGCAGCATTTCTCAAATCCAGTGCGGGATCAGTGACGGGGCAACTGCCCATCGAGCGTTTGGCTGAGCTTTATGGATACTCCCAAACACCAACCACTGGAATACCGGTCCGACGCGCAGCGTCTGGCAGAAACGCCCAATACGCAGAGCATGTAGCAATATTCACTCATGTTGACTGCAGAGCACTTCCTCTGCAGCAGCCGGCGCCCACAATCGGTGCCATTCACTCATCCCTCGCGTGGCGCTGCGATAGGTGCGCCTCCATCGTCCTCCCGACCCATCGTCATCCTGCAGCTCCATGCCATCAATGTCGTCGCAGTCGTGGTGCTCCCTCGCAGCCATTGCGGCAGTCGTCGAATCTGCCACGCACACAGGCAACGTTCATCACCATGCTGCGGCTGGCCATGTGCGGGCAGTCAAACCCGAGAGCATGGACCACCAGGTGCGCGGCGATGCGTTCGTGAAATAAAAACGCCGGGCAATGTACATGGCGCCAGCGACGGGACGGCCATCCTCCAGCGTGGCGCACCGCTGTGCCCACACACCACCAGGCGCCGCAGCCACGTACAGCACCATGTCAGAATGGGAAACACCAGTGGAACGATGCCCAGCAGGCACCGTGAACCGACTTCAAACGCTGCCCGTGGCAAATGAGTACACAGTCAACGGACCCTCCAGTGGCTGCACGAGCAGACGATCCGCATGCAGTTTGACAGCAGCAGGGACAGTCTACTCGGCAAGGATATTACCGTGTGCAGAGGTCAAAACACCATCCTCACAGTGGCAATTTTCATTCAATAAATTCATTGCGTGAGACCAGGAGAAGACGCAGTGCTTCCTGCTGCCATCCAAGTCCCTTGTTGACGCCTTAATGCGGACGGGCACCCACGGGTCCTTCCAGACGCCGCTGCACACCTGCAACGCATCCTGCGCCCTGAGAAGCATTTTCCCCACCGTAACCGAAATCGACCTCGCCGTCGGAGAAGACCACATCGTCAAAAATCAGGAATACTTCAGGGTGAAAGCAAGACGTCCGCTGGCAAACCACATCGCAAAGATCATCAATAGCAGCACCAGAAGCGATGCAGACCGTGGGGTTAGCGTGGATCAACTGACGCATGCCATAAGCCAAGAAAATCTTAATGGCTTCACAAGAATACAAGAGGCTGACACTCTCCCAGAAGAATAGAAACAATATGAAAAACAAAAAAAAGATTCACGTCTCCAACGTCAAAGCAAATTGCCAATCAAAAAAAGTAATGGATGCACTCAACCACAAGACAAGTAAAACAATAAGTGAAGTAAAACAAAAAGCCGAAGCGTGGGACGACCAGCGCACACACTCCCACTGCTCCCGTAAAGCAAAACACACACACAGGGAGAGAGAGAGAGGTCGCCCACTCAATGCAATGGAAAAAAAGAAACAGTTACGGTGCTCCGCCCATGCAGCCAGGCAGGACGGCAGCGGTGCGTGTCGTGCAAAAGAGAGCACCAACGGGCATGCATGGGTGTGCATGCATATATACAATGGGCACATTATTGTGTGTGCCTCGTGGGGTGAGGTGAGGGCGAGAGTCCATGCAAGGGGACACACACACAGAGAGAAGGACGAGTGTGTGTGCGGGCGGTGCACGGCTCTCTCTCCCTCACTCTCACGCGGCCACCACCGCAGCAGCAGCCGCACACGCAACAAGAAGAAGAAGCAAAAGAGGGGAGGTGGTGTGGGAGACCGCGGTGCTGCTGTCACCGTTGCCAGTTGTCGCCGTATGATTTGTTTTGGCGTCGGTAATTGTTATTGCTGTTTGTGGTGCTGCCTCACTCATTGTGGTGCTGCTGTCGCTGTCGTCGACCTTTCCATTACCGCTAGTTTGGCGTTTTTCTGCCTCTGAAGTATCTGAAGGTTGAGGATCCTCAGTTTCCTTCGCCACTGTGGATTTTTCCTCGTTGGATGTAGGAGTTCCGGTTGAGGATGACACAGCTCCCAGTTGTTGGCTGCCATTTGATGTACTCTGCGGTGTAACTGGTGTGTGTGCAGGATCCCCGTTGTTCCCTTCCTTCGCATTGTTTCCGTTTGGCACATCAGGTGACTTTGTGGATGCATGCGTGTTGTGTCTGTCATTCTTATCCTCTGAAGGTTCTGTTTGTTGTTGGGTTTTGGGCTCCGGCTCTTTTGCTTTAGATACGTCGGGTACGGCCTTCTCACCGCCCTGCAGTGTTTGAATTGTGTCCCCTGGTAATGCTCTTGCTTCGGTGGGGTCCAAATTCCCTTTTCCTTTGGTTGATTCGTCTAAACGGGGTTGACGATCCGCACGCGACTGGGCGTCGTTCTCACCTCTTTCACCCCCTGCTGGGGCAGAATTTTTTGTTGGCTCCACTAAGGTGGGGGCTACCACTGCCGCCTTTTCGTCAAGCGATGAAGAGTGTTGAGGCTTTGTCCTACTTCTGGCAAAACTTCTTGGGAATTACCATGTGAAGTGGATGAAAGGCCACCTGCAGAACCCGCATCACCACCACCGTGAGTTACAGGCGTATCAACAGAAGGTGATTTCAAATTGGGCCCACCACCGGAATCACCAGCACCTCCAGGAACAACAGTACCGTGACCTCCACCAGAAACAGAACCCGGACCTGTAGTCGCAACTGAACCCAAAGTGTTCTCTTCCTCTGACTCACGTGCTTCTAGACCATCCTCGGCTTGCATGGCGGGGATGAGCAAAATGGACCGCAAAGGCAGCGTGAGCGCAGTTTTCTCACGGCCGCTCTTCACATACGATGTCTTGGCTCCAAAACCTCCAGACACCAAGCAGCCACCCACTGCGTTGTTGTCGCGATCCCTCGCATAAACCCCACAGGCACCGCACCACAGCACGCAGAGGGCACACACCAGCAGCACACGGCCAGTCATCATCGCCATCACTCCTGTCACTTGCGTGCAGCGTTCAGCACAAACTAACTCCCCGTCAACGCAGAGTGAAAGCAAATGGAGAAAGACACGACCGCCACACCACACACAATAACAAATGATAGCAGCCCAGAAGCAGCAAATACCATGAGAGAGAGGTAATCAGTGGAAATGGGAAACATAAACACACCGCAACAATTAAAGAGAAAGAAAAGCATAAAACAATTAAAAAAAAACACAGGTAAACAGGCAACAATAAAGGAAAAGCTGTAAAATCACACAAAAAACAAGGGGCTGCACAGTATGGCTCCAGTGCGCATGCACCAGCACACAAACATGCGTCCACGCAAACAGTTTTGGGCGTGCCGTGCATATGAGTGTGTCTGGGATGCGTTCAACGTGACGGATACAGGGAGCCGCAAGGAGCACACAGCAGGGCAGCGGAAGCATGTGAAGCAAAACACAATCATTATTTTCTATTATTTATTTACATCAGACCATAGTGGACGCGCACAAATCCCCGTGGTTAAGTGCTGGCACGCACAGCCCGCACATAATTCCTCAGCCCACAGTGGTGTACGCCACCGCGGATGCGGCGAGCAGCAGCGGAGCACACACCCACGCAGAGCTGCTGAGGCTGCCGTCGTCTTCGCGAAGAAGTGATGGTGCGCGGGTGGTCGTCGTGGTTGGTGCCTCTGTGGTCGTAGTACTTGGTGCCACTGGCGCAGTAGTGGACGTAATGGGCACTTTTGTGGTCGTCGTGTTTGTCGTGGGAGCATCTTCGGCTTCATTATCTTCATTTTCCAAGGAAACACTCGTACCACTTTGTGACTCTGTCGTGCTTCTCTTGACTTCGGTATGTACCACATTGTTCGGGCCGTTTGATTGTTTTTCCGGAGTGGCCCCACCTGGATCCGCTCCGGCTTTTGTTCCGCTGTCCGCAACGGGACCCAAAACTGATGACACTGAGTGATCCTTCTCTTGTAGTCCTGACTCTAAAGAAGTAGATGAATGACTTTTTACGCTTTCATCAGCGCCACCCGACTTGTTAGCGGTTGGTGTCTGTGTTATCGTGTTCGTCGTCGCACTAGAAGCATCATCCATCTTCGGAGACTCTGAGGTGCACACAGACGGGCAGCAGCACAGGGCGAGCACCAACAGGGCGCACAGCAGACGGCACGTCATCATCGTGAGTGTGGTCGTTCAGTGGTGTGGAGCTGATCTGCACAGTGAGGGACATGGAGAGCAACAGGGGAGACGAGAGGTGCGGCAGACACACACAGAGGGCACACCGCATGAGGAGAGGGCAGCAGCCAGGCATGCACCGTACGCCGCACACCACGCACGACACACAATCCAATCCACGGCAACACGCACAAACACACAAACCTGCACTCTGTAATACTTGTGTTGTACAATTGTTGTGGTCAGTGCATGCGGTCACACAAAAGGAGCGAGAAAAGAGGAGACCACTACGGCTACACACCAGAGGGAAGAAAAAGGCAAGAGGGCCGCGCCGCGTCGGCAATCGGTGCGTCACTTGCCTGCAGACCAGGCGTCGTGCGCGATTGTTGTCGCTCAACGTGACGCATACGTCCTCGTGGCCCCAGAGGGTGGAACAGCCAGCGCCAACCCAAACACAGCTGTCAACACGCCATTGCCACAATCGTGAAGAGCCGGCTGGCACCACACACGGCAAGAAGGACACACCAAGACACGCCATGCACCAAAGGGGCGCATCAAGCCCGCAAACAGTGCGCACCGCTCCAACACCGCAGGGTCCTCACGCACGCACGCACCATCCTCCTTCTTCCTTATGTTCGGCTCATTGCCGCCACATCCGACACCCGCACCTCACAATACCAGAGGGAAACACAAAACAGCTGAAGCAGCAACAACAACAAAACTGCCACCTTGTTGCGCTGACGCCACTGCACGAAAGGGTGCGCCGGCGACGGGAGTCCATCGCGCAGGAGACGGAAATGAGTCCAACGAGACACCCAAGAGCCACACGTTGGCAGTCTTGTCGGGGCTGCCCCAACGCAACCACAACAAATAGTGCCGCAACCACGGAGCCATGCACCCTGACCCACAGCGTGTTTTCACAATCAGAACAGCAGGGACAAAGGGAAGTAAGACACACTACCCACAGTGCAGCAGAGCACCCGAAACACACACAGCCAATCAAAAACGAATGCAAAAAGCCGGGAAGGCAGAAAAATAAAAAGGGTGCATACAGATTGAAAGCCGAAGCACAAAAATTATTTGAGGTCCACATTCTCGCAATGACGCACACAAAAAAGAAGCAAAGTCACAAAACCAAGCAAAAGTGTGAAAGATAAAGCCGCATGCACCAATTACGGAGGCAGAGGCAGTCGTCCCTGTCCTTCAGAGAAACAGCTGCTGGCACGCCCTCGCCTCCATTGGAGCACATCTCCTTTACTTTTTACTCATGATTAGAGTACGGTGGTTTCCCCTCGTCCCAATCGCATCAAAAAACGCGTGCATACATGTGGTGCTGGGAACGTCTTTTCTCTCCATGTTACTTCGTTCACACACAGTTTTCACGGAAGTTCAACCCTCTAAACAAAAACACCTTTTCCCAGAACAACAAACAATGCAATAAAAGACCGGTCATTTTGCCCATCACCGCAAGCAATGAAGGACATGGGGAATGCAGTGAGTGTATTGTAGTGTTATTGCTGCGGTTTGCGCGTCTTGAGTGCGGGGTCAATGTGCCAAGTAAATACTGTCGCCCTGCCGCAGTTTGATTGCGCCCAGCCGCCGCGGCTGCTCAAAGAGGCACCACCACTACCGCCGCAGCAACCACAACAAGAAGCACAAGGGGAATGAGGCCAGCGGTAGCAGCAGCCACACCGCCATCGCTGTCGGCCTGCTGTACCAACGCATCGGGTATCGCCTGGAAGTCGTCGCCGTTGACACACGGAATCGGAGTGGCAGGCGCGGAGGCACTGGGAACCACCGCTGGGCAATCCGACCGCGGGTCGCCCTCCGCTCGTGCAACGTCCTCGCCGGGTGATGGCGCAAAGAAGGCGTCGGGGCCGGAGGCTCTGTTGGCCCCCTCGCTTCCACTGCCAGGTCTCCTCCCTCGCCGCTGAGTGTTGTCCTCGCTTTCGGTCCGCACCCCCGGATCACCCCTCGGACCGGCATGAAGGCCACCACCAGCGACACCCGCAGCCGAAGCACCGGGAGGCTCCTTTTCAATGGAGGCACCAGACGCCACAGGAGACAACTGTGGACGAGTTTCTCCGGAGAAGGCGACCCTGGAGCAACCGCAGACTCTTCTGCTTCCTCCTCTTGCTCGTCACCCTGTCCACCCACCAACGCACTCGGAATGACAAGACTGCTGCCGTTCGCGGCAATGGTGAACACCTCGCCGTGCGTGGGACACTTGATCTTCCCATCTTTCTGAAAATCTTTAAACGCCACTGGGATGTCAGTGCCCTCAGGGCAAGGCTGAAAAACACTGCTGCCGAGGTGCCTCACCCTCACTGTGCCCTCCTCACACGACACCTGCGTGCACACTCCCTTGACGCTTTTATGGCCATCACCGTCCTTCGTCTCCAGTAATTCCGCGTCCAGGCACCACGAGCCACCGCCAGTCAGCGACACACGGAGATAATCCACATTTTCGTCCGAGCACGTCCTGTACGTTGTCCCAGACGATATTTCGTGAAATTCCAAAGAAACAACAGGGCAAACGTCCTTATCCACCAGACTCCCCTTGTCCTCAACGATGCTTGCGGTGCACGTCCCAACGTGACGGCGGTCGGAGGTGCAGCGAAGCGTCTCTGTGTCTTTAGCATCGCAGAACATGTGAGGATACTTGGCGGCAAGATTATCGGTTGTATTGCATCTCTTCTCCAGGAAGTCGCAGCCACTGCGGTGGCCCCAGCTCATCGGCTCCGCCATGCTCCAATTCACGCGGTAGTATCCCATATGCGCAAACACCGCCATCGTCAGAGCCGTGTAGTAGCCGGCACCGACTGCGGGAGCCATCAGCTCGTCCCGCGCGTGGCGTCCCTTCCAGTGAGGGACCCCTTTTTCCCGAGGGCCATCTTCGTCCTCCAGCACCATGCCCTCGAGAGTCTCACAACCAAAGTGCGCTTTCGCCTTCTCCTGAACGTGCTTCCCGGCCACCATCCTGCGGTGTGTCCCACGCACACTTCTCTCTCGCTTCTTCACCAGGCACTTTTCTCTCGTGCTCTCCCGGCTGAACCCAAGTGCATGCGCAATTTCGTGTGCGGCAACGCGAACGCTCCACGCCGTGTCAGTCATGTACTTCGGATCAAAGTTCATGGCGCCAATGGAAGGACGAAAATCACTCAGTGTGTTGCACGTGGCCGCCCACACAACGCACACGGAGCGAGCACCCACCACACCAGCCACAACCGCTAGTGGACCCTCATCCATCATGGCGCGGCAACAAAATTTCCAGCCATCCCGCCCTCAACGAGAAACGGAGCCCAACTCAACGCAGTCACACGCGGTGCTCCACACCCGCAGGAAAGGAGACGCGGGCTGCGCACTCCCTTCCTTCGCCCTTCTCCTCATGGCCACGGAGGAAGACAACAGCCGCCACACGCAACTGCCAGCATGCACTGCAAAAGAAGCATTCAAATCCACCGCAATGTGCATCTTGTGTGTGTGCCTGCAGAAACACAAAGCAAAGAAGTAGAAAAGAGGGGAGCAGAGTACGTGGAGAAACGCACAAAATGTACAGCGGAGGTGCGTGGCGGAAGCAACAAGAAGAAGACCGCTCAAACTCATGACTGCACCGCAGCCCAAGCAGCGGCAATTCACACAAGATTTATTTAAAACAAAAGATCTTTCCCCTTCATCTTATATAAACCCCATCACACAAAATAATTATAAATAAAAAAGAAATCGTCCATTACTGTTCCACACAAATTTAAACAATCGCCTGGCTGCCGTGTGGCCACACCAAACTGTCTGTATATTTTGCCCGCAAAGAAAATTAAAAGATATTTAAATGTCTTTCAACCGTCAGACCCTCCGTGTGTCCGCACATCGTTTATATTTCATGGGGTCATCTGCGTGTTGCTGCTCCCCTCAGCCCTCCCATCGGCGCGTGAGTGCGGCCCGCAGAGCACAGTCACTCGTGTGTGTGGGGACTGAGAGAAGCACGCAGACACGACGGGAGTCGCGTCACTCCATCGGGAGAGTGAGCGCAGCAAAAAAAAAAAAATCTTAAAAACACGGCGGCAGGGTGTGGCTGTGTGTGTGGCGCTGCGGGTGTCTGCCAGACCTGGCCGCAAAGAAAACAAAACAAGAGGGGAAGAAATGTGTGCTCCGCCCCACAGGCCCTCGTCGCACGCCCACACGTCACGGCTCCCTCAGCGCGCCGTTCGTCGCGGCCCCTCCTCATGCGTGCAGCAGGCGAGGCGCACAGGGCCGTCGTCATGAGCGTGTCGGTGGGTGTGCGAGTGGAGCAGTTGGGCGGAAACACACGGCACCCCTCACAGGAAGAGTGCAGCAGAAACAATTAAAAGAGGGAAGAGTAGAAAAGAAAAACGTCCACAGTGACTGCCCCGAAAGCAAAAAGGGAAGGGATGGGGGATTTTTAAAAAAGCAAAAAAAACGTTAAAGAAAATAAGGCATTAACAAATGAAAAAAACTCACAACGCCCCGAAGTATGTAAACAGCAAGAAAAACACACAAAAAAGTAACAACAAAACAACAGCAAAGAAAAGAAAGTAAAAAAAAGTAAAAACACAAAGAACAAAACACAAGAAGCTGCAACAAATGGCTTCAGCGTGCATGCACCAGCTCACACAAAAGTGCACCCACGCAAACAGCTGTGGGCGTGTCGTGCATACGAATGTGTCTGGTACGCGCGCCAAGTGACGGATACAGGGAGCAGAAAAATGGAGCACACAGCAGGGCAGCAGAAGCAAATAAAGCAAAAACACAATCATTATTTTCTATTACTTATTACTCTGTAAAACAAAAGAAGCTCACAGATCCACGTGGCTGAGTGCTGACACTTATAGCCCGCATACACTTCTTCAGTTCAGTGTCCCGTAGGTGAGCGCAGCCAGAACAAGCGGTGGCAGGGCATGCAGATGGGTGCCATGGAAGCAGGCGTCAGTTCCCACACTGTTCTCCAGAGCGTTCGTTGTGGGCGCAGAGGAAAGGGGAGCCGGCATGCTTGCCGCCGTAGCATTTCCTTCGCCGGAAACAGTGCCGGTGGTGTTGGCGGCGGTGTCCTCTTCGGCGCCTCCCGCTGCACCCCCGTCCTCGCCGGTCTGGGACAACTGAGTCGGTGGCGCAGCAGTCTCTTCCTGCAGCTCCACTGGATGGTCATGGGAGGAGTGGCCGCCGCCTTCTGTGGGCTTTGGATCTGGTAGAGATTCGGGTGCAGGAGAAGAAGCAGCAGAGGCAGAATGTGCAGGGCCTTGAAGTTCACCAGCGGGGGCGAAATCCAGTGCTCCCAAGGCTGCAGCAGAAGGATCCGTCGTGGCCGCAGCGCCAGCAACAGAGTTAGCACCAGCGCCGCCTGGAGTTGCAGGTAGAGAAGAAGGAGGGACATCCGTGGAATTCTCAACGACAGCAGGAGAAGATTCACAATCCGGTCTAGAAGATGTTTCACGAGAATCCTTGTGTTCTCCAGAGCCCGGAGGTTCTGCTTCCGGAGGTTTTGCCGGAACAATTGCAACGGTGGCCGCCTTCGGCTCCACGTTACGCTCCCACCAATTCTCCAGGATGTCTGGAGTGGGCGTATCAACGTTGATCGTGATGACAGCATCCTTCACACCATCTTTGGTGCGACTCTGTGAAACCTCGGACGCACAGTTTCCGACGCCCATGCCACAAATTATTTGTCCCACAACAGTAGATGAATCCGTGCAGTCGTACCACAATGAATTCCCAGGGAGTTGCCAACGCGCAACATTACCGTCACCCGCACACACTGCATCACCTGCGGCTCTTGCTCCTCCTCTACCTTCGCGGCAAACACGCACGAGCAGCAGCACAGTAGTGCCAGAACCAACACGACACAAAAAACACGGCACATCATCTTCAAAAATATCGCTGTTGAATAACGCGGATTCGATCTGCAGGAGCATGAGAATGAAATAAAGAGAGACAGCAGCCACACCACGCACAGCCACCGCATGGTAATAAATGGCAGCAGTCAGAAGAAGCGCACACCAAAAAAGGAAGATGGAATCATTACAACTGCAGAACTCACACACCGCCGCGCAAAGCAGAAATTAAAAAGGCAGAATAATCGTCCGGGCAGCTGGCCGGATCCTGAAATTATCTATGGAAACCAAACAAGTTAGGAAAAAAGGTTCTTTAGTTAATTGCTTCAATGTTTTCTTTTCATTCAATATATAGAATTCTGTGGACCATTAGCATGGTCCTTTGTCCTCAGTTAGGATTTGAAATATTATTACTTACGAAGTGGCAGACTTTGGGGTCCTCCAACCACAAGACCCCGCCGCTTCCCTTCGCCAAGTCCTGAAGTGTAAAAACACGACCGCGTGATATGCCGTCTGCAGGGTTTTCTGCAGACCGCACGTAGGCAAAAGTTGCCTGTATTCCGCGAGAGTCCAAAAACAAACATATTCGTTGCAGCTCCCACGTCATGGCGTGTGATTTTGAGCTGCCTTTATTCGCCGCTCCTCGCAGCGAAGTATTGTCCACCCAAACGTCCATGGTGGATGGCAAGATGGCAGGAAAGACCGATAAGGCTAAGCGTACCGCGCGTGCCTCGGCCTGCATGATGAGAAAAGGCTTCTTCTCCCATTTACCCCGGCAATTTTAACGTCGCCGGAGTCTGGAATAAAAACGGCTCCCCAACCATGGAGCGATGCATCCGTGATGATGGCGGCCGATGCCGTTTCCGTGGGCTTGTTATTTCTCTTACGGTTATTCTCGATCATTTGTCGTAAACTCTCGCCCAAACCAACCGCTGCCGGCGGAAGGTTCGCAAGGGATGTCTCCATCACAATTCCCCGGTTAAGTGCGGATAATCGTCGTCGCACTGCCTTGATGAAAAAGTAGTGGTCGCATAAACGCGTGCCCAAAATGGCAGCCGCGTACAAAAAACGTGACGCCGTAATCTCCATTTCCGCGATGGTTGAAGAATTGACCGCCGGCATGGCGCATACAGACCGGACAAACTTGTCACTCAGGGATACCGCCCGGTGAGTGTGATCAAACTGCACCCCAAGAAAGATGTACTACGTGGCGCCCGATTCGCGATCCTCCCCCATCGTGGTGCAACGGCTGTCCGCATTCCGAAGTACTTGGGCTTCCCACAATGTCGCGTCGCTTTACGACCCTGCAATGCGTATATTACCGATCCATACGTCGATACGGACCAATGGAGGTGCAGCCCAGAGGCAGTGAACCACCGTCTTCGCCCCGCAATTGCCAAGGTAATAATAATCTGGAGAATTTCTGGGCTGGCCTTGTATCCCATTGGGAGCCGTGTAAGCTCCACCAGCGTGCCGTCCTCCACGTGGCATCAAAAAGATGCCGAGCCCCCGCGGTAAAGAGACTTGAAAAAGGATGCCTTTAAGTCTAGACAGGAAGCGGCCTCAGCCATCCAGGTGGCAAATAATGGGAAATGTGTAAAAGAGGAACATTAGACTCATAAGGGTCGTCTCTGTTCTTGTCGCGTGGCCACGCGATCCATCTTCGTCGTAAACCGGTGGTTTTCTCCTCCACAACCAAAAGGGTATTATCCATCCGCCTGTTATTGTAGACGAAGCGTCCTCGATAATTCCTGCTTTGCGTAACAATCTCGCGTCAGCGGTTGGAATCCTCCGTGAGCCTTCGCGCGCTTTACCGGAGGAAGACGGAGGGAAAGGGGACCGCCCGACGAGTCCCCAAACTTGCATGAGTCTCTCCAAGGTGGCCGGGTTCAACCGGCTCTGGATCCACTCTAAGTTCAATACGGGCACGTTGACTTGCTGTAGCGGGATAGCGTGTTCATCTTGTGGAGTGGCCAGACGCGTCCCTGTCGCGCGTCTCGTAATTGTAGCGGAGTGAGGATGAAAATCATGAAAAAAAAAACGCTCATCTGCTCTCAGCCAGGGTTCCTGCCCTTCCGCAGTGTCTCCCTTCACATCAATGCGACCAGCGACAACACCTGGGTCAGCAGTGTGGTGTACTTCCCCAAATATCGAACAGTATTCTGGGGAAGGTCGAACGGGTCGACGTGCTTCGCCAACCGCGAGATCACGTGTGGATTCAAATTGTACTTCTCCACGATTTGAGCAGCGTGCCTCAACGCACCGCGTTCTATGGAATGCGCCGTGGCATCCCAAGGAGCCAGAGCTCGTTCGACTTCGGCATTAGTAATATTCGTGCGCTTTTCGTTTTCTTGAAGTGTCCTGCATAGCTTTATGGTGTCGAAGGCGTCCTGCCCTCGTATCCTCACGAACCGCGAGGCGCGGTGGGGATCCGCCCTCGCCGTCTTCGGCGCGACGGACCAATCCAAAATTATGCTCCGTCCGGCTCCATTGTGAAATTGTTGGCTGTCAAGGCCGCAATCTCGGACCAACGACTCGCCGTTATCCACGCGAGTCGTAAGACAACACGTTCCTTCCAATCGGTCCGGCTGCGGATTACTTGATTCATCTCTTCCTTTGTCAAGGGGCGCGCTTGCTTCGTCTCCTATCGCGCCGCAACTTTTTGTAACCCCAGAATCATCATGTCCGGCGGGGTTCGTTCCATTTCCAACATGGACCGCAGCATCCTGGCTTACTGCCGTCGGGTCAATGGCGCCACTTCGATTGCCATCTAAAAGACCGCACAGCTCTCCTCGTTCATCGGCTGTTCGTGCGTGCGGCAAAAAGGCGTGAAATGCCCCGCTAGAGACATTCTCTGCTCCCACGTTGACGGCGCCCACATCTCTCGAGCCACCTCGTTCGCTTTCCTCATATAACTGGCCCAAAGCGGGGATGTCGGCGATTCGTCGTACCACAGTCGAGCGTCGTTTACGGATAAGCTCCATTGCCCTTGTCGACGATTGCATCGGGCAATTCAAAACATCGGGTGGAGCGTTGGCGGTGCGGTGCAAATAGTGGGAGGTGGCGGAATGGATGGGGCTGCCGTCTTCCGCTCCTATAAGCGGCGGGCAGCCCCTTTGCCATTTTTTGACGGCCGTCTGCGCTGCGAGTAACTTCCTCTGGTTGCGTCTCCGACGTTGCACGTGGATGCGTCGCGTCCATAAATACGTCACAATCGGCATCGCAACGATCTTTGCTGTTGCGTGCGTGGGCGGGCGCGCAGCTCGGAGATCGGGACGCTGGACTCAGTAGTCATCATCTGCAACTGGAAGGTCTGCAGTAGGGCCCTAAACAAATCCATGAAACGATCTGCAGGATCCCGCTCTATCTCCAACGCGCGCCTGCACGATACCAAACCGTCAAAGGCTGGCTGAACCTGAGCATCCGCCTGGTGCAAGCATTTATAACTGTATGCGCTCCGGAGATTAACGACGACTTCGGAGATGCCCTCATTCCACACACGCGGAGCCCAGATGGTGACCTCCAATGCAAGAAAATGCAGCACTCGACCTTCCAAACCAAAATTTTCTTTCACGGGGGACGGTGGGGAGGCGACGGCAAAAAAAAGAAAAATGTATTTTCCCGAATTGCTCTGAGAATTCTGAGTGTTGACCCGCCGTCTCTCCCCCGCAAGATTGGGTTGGGGAAGCGCGGATGCTGGAACGCCCCAGGCCATCAAACGATGCGGTTGATTTGGCTGTGTGTTTCCGCCATCGCCGTGCATGCGTGGGGCCATCTGGCGGCCCTCTCCGAGAGGTGGGCGCCTCTTCCGTCTGAAAGTAAATCTGAGCAGTCCAATTCTGTACGTCCGCAACGGCGTGGGTGTAGTCCGAGTTTAATATCTGCCTTTCCGCAATGACGAGCCCTTGCTTGCCCCCAACTCCCGGGCCGCCCCCACACGATGGGCAGGAGCACTTGAGAATCGAAATTTGGTACTTGAAACGCCCAACGATTCGCAAAGTGCCCCGCAACGGTCGAGCCCTCCAGTGCTTGGCAATCTTTGCTGAAACCAATCGCAAACATGTCATGGTTGCAGCGACGGTTACCACCGCATCCAACGGCCTGTGTTCATCAATGAAGGCAAGCTGCACCTGGGCATCGCCATGCTGGCGTACCAGGTCCAACATGCGGGCCACGATGTCGCTGCACTCCGTCGCCGTGTAAAAAAATCACTGCCATTAATTCACATCAACATGCAGGAATATGGCACGGCTGTGAAACAAGAAATAAAAAAAAGAAAAGGAAAAAATAATTTCGTCGTACGGCTCTCGGCTCCCTGACTCCCTCAATCGCGGTCTTCCAAAAGACTGTACGATAAAAGAGGAAGAAATCCCGCAGAGACATCTCCGTTGCATCGATATATAAATTTATTCGGGCAGCCAGCCATCCTCGCAGGCATTCTTCTCACAAACTCCCATAAAAATAAAGAGAAATTGTGCGGCCCCCACATCCCGCAAAGGCCTCCAGGGGCGACGGAGCCTTCACAGAAGTAAAAACAAAATAAAATGAAAAAATAATTTAGTGGTGCGACACTCTTGACCGCAATGATTCCCTCGGAAGAAAGGCGTTCCCTGACCAAACCCTCGTAAAAACACAAAAATATAAAAATAGTTAAAATGCTCCCTAACATAATTCATCATAAACGCACTGCGCTAACCTCCTCAATTATTTCTTTCATTTTCTCTTCTGAGCCTTTTTGCTTCACGAAGTTAAAACTCCCACGACATTTTTTAAAACTTTTTTTGATATTGACACTTGGTACTGGCGCACCTCTTCCTTCCAAAACGCCGAATCTCACGGCTCTCGTCGCTCACATTATTGGAATTGACGACATCACATCTCTGCCAGTCACTCATCGGCGTGCTGTACATAAATAATCTCCCACGACATGTCTCGGGATGATTCCCCCAGCCATTAAAATATGCCGCCATACGCTCAGTGAACTGCCTCGCAGTGCTGGCGGTGGTGTGGTGCCCACCCGCCGTAGTTATCCGCAGCCCAACCACCGTCATTGGATTGGACTCCGAGAAGAAAAAAGGCGT